TGTACGGACGGAAGTTCAGCTTGCTTACCGACAATCAGGCAATCTCGAAGATCTTCGGAGAGCACAAAGGGTTGCCGGTCATGTCTGCATTGAGGATGCAACTACGTATTTGCAGAGTTTCGATTACGAGATCCGGTTCCGGAAGTCTACGGATCATGCGAATGCTGATGCCATGTCGAGGATTCCGTTAGGAGTAGCTGATCCCCAGAATGAGATTGAGGAGTCGGATGCTGTGGAATTGAGTCAAATCGATACTCTACCCTTGACTGCTGCCGAGTTAGGTCAAGCTACGGTGGGGGATCAGACGGTGCAAAAACTGATCCAAGGCATCAAGCACGGCCAGCTGGTGGAAGCGAAGGATCGTTTCGGAATCGAACAGAACGAATTATCTCTACAAAAAGGATGCTTGCTTCGGGGAATTCGAGTGTACGTGCCTACAGTTCTCCGGAAACGTGTGCTGGATGAATTACATTCTACTCACTTCGGTACAACCCGTACGAAGTCGCTGGCAAGAGGCTATTGCTGGTGGCCTGGTTTGGATCGGGAGATCGAAGAATTGATTGCGAACTGCGCTGACTGCCAGTCAGTACGTGCGGAACCTGCGAAGATGAATCTTCATTCCTGGGAATCACCAAGTGAACCGTTTCAAAGGGTCCATATTGACTTTGCGGGTCCTTTCATGGATACCTACTTCTTCATCTACGTGGATGCGTTTAGTAATTGGCCGGAGATCAAAGTGTGCAGATCCATTACGGCCGAATGCACCGTAAACATGTGTCGCAAGATCTTCTGTACGTTTGGCATACCGTCAGTCCTGGTGAGCGACCATGGCGTCCAGTTTACTTCGGAAGTTTTCCAGCGGTTCCTGAAGATCAACGGTGTAGTTCACAAAATGGGAGCGCCGTATCATCCGGCAACGAATGGACAAGCGGAGCGGTACGTCCAGACGTTCAAGCAGAAATTGAAAGCGCTGAAGTGTTCCAAGTCTCAGCTGAGCCTGGAACTGTCCAACATTCTTCTTACCTACCGCAAGATGATCCATCCATCTACCGGGAAATCACCGTCAATGCTCGTATTCGGTCGACAGATTCGATCGAGGATCGACTTGCTGCTGCCGAAGAATGAAACTTCAAGCAAGGCTGACATTGCTGTGCGTCAGTTCTTGGATGGTGATCGAGTACGTGTTCGCGATTTCTTGTCGAGTAACAAATGGAAATTTGGCAAGATCGTCGAGAAGGTTGGAAAGCTTCGTTATACGGTGCGATTGGATGACGGACGAATCTGGGAGCGTCACATTGACCATATCGTCGGTGTGGGAGCTAATTTGCGGAGCGATTCGGTGGACCCTCCAAGGGAGGAGTACATTGAACTCGACGAACCTACAACTTCGGCTGCTGTGCCAGTGGCCCAAGCTACAGCGAATCCTGTCGAGGAAGCTACTGGTACTGCACCGGTGGTTCCTTGCGCTACACCTGCTGCTGCGACGATAATGTCTACTCCTGGATCCCAGGAGCGTTCTTCGACTGTCGTGGCCGGTCGGTCTGCTGTGTTGGAGGCTGCTCCGACGACTCTACGACGATCCAGCCGGGTAATCGTACCTCCCCAGAGATTGAATTTGTAATTTCTTTTGTATAACTTACTATAACTTTCTTTTTACGAGGGGGAGAAGTGTTATATCGTTATATTACCCTTGATATGTATACACCTATTAAAACATTACCTTGCTCGCGCACACCTTGTTTCGTACATTCCTTGTTTCCGCGCGAGCACGTTTCGAGCTGTCATTAAATTTCTCTCGCCATGACGACATGCGCCTTCTGCGCGAAGAAGTATTATTAAATAAAAATAGAAGGTTTAAAAGTGAAAGCTGTTGTGGTTTTATTTTCCTTCGTAATTTCGGCCGTCACAACAAATATATCAACCATGGCCCCTCCAACGGCACCCACCGCCACAGTTTCCGGTATAGAAAATATCTCCCGGTGGGGTAGCAACTGATTAAAACCCAATTCCAGCTCCGAAGGCAACGCTACAAACCATTACCCCGTGGAATGTTCAGCTAAAGCACTGCCACTGCCGAAGGTGAGGAGGAGGATGACGATTAAGAAGCTGCTGATTCCGATGAGTGCGATCCTCGTTTGAACTTCAAATCCATTAACGATCTACCGGATGAAGCCGAAGTCATTATTGGGTATTTTGCGGTTACCGTGTGGTAATTCAGAGCTCGGTTTACAGTTCCATCTAACGGCAGTTTGTCAAGCGATGGGACGAGATTGCTTCGACGAGTATCGATTTTGAATATTTGGTCAGGCAGATCGGGTTTTTCTACCACATCAACCAGATGAGCATTCGACCGTCGTAAATGTAAGGTTGCAACAGGTTCATTTCACGTTCACGGTTGGTAAGGGTCGAACGAAGGTTATTAAACTGTGATGATTTAAGTGTCTCCGAGTGTCCCGTATTGTTTTTTTTTTGACAGCAGCTTTTCTGCTCCGCATGAAGGTGCACCTTCAAATGTTGCTGTGATGCGAAAAGTGAGAAAGCAAATGACAGCGATCTCGCTCACTGAGCAATGTGAGTTACTCGAGGTGCCTCAATAGCAACTCTGAAATTGCTCATTATTAGGAGCTGTCTTACCCCTTGCTTGATGTCTTGGGCAAAGTTGTTTGTCTTGACAAAATAAACAACTCTTTTGAAGACGTAAAATTTCCACAGCCTACTGGTTCCAAGTTATATGGAGTTAATGAAAAAAAATGTCAAACATGTGGTTTCTTCTTTCTGTTTCGGTTTTCTTTTTGCTGACAACCATATAATGTTATATTTCTCTCTTATGAAAATGCATTAAATAAATAACTTTTGTCTAGAAAAATACTGGTTTAAGCTTCAAATTTTAAAGGTTTTGTTGAAAAACCGGAAAAAAAACAACGATTTTTGAACTTTATTATCTCCCAAAGCGCAAAAAATCGCAAGCGGACATTTTCAGCAAAAATTAAGTAATACTCGTTCAACAAAACATCAAAATTTGAGAGAGGTATATTTTGGTTCCTGATGAATGTGGGTGTCTTAGTGGAATACCTGTATAATGAGAGAGAAGGATTAGTAATTTCCATTTAATTCCACTACCTTATTTGCTTATCCTTGGCAAATACGCGTATGTCGTCTACAATGTGCAGACTTCTTCAGTGTCTTGTACTAGTACTAGACGAACAGTCGAGACGAAATACGCGTATCTGTCGAGGATAAGCAAATAAGGTAGTGGAATTAAATGGTTATTACTAATCCTTCTCTCTCTCATTATATATTTTGGTGTTTTTGAGATTTCATCATTTTAGTGGAGCACGTATTATTTCTATACATTTTTTTTAAGCATTGAAATGGCGTTTTAAAAACATGTTTTCTTCAGCAAAGTTGTTTATCTTGATAAAATAAACAACTCTTCTGAAAAAGTCAAAACTCCACAGCCAACTGTTTTTGAGTTGATAAGGTAGTGAGGTCACTATTGAAAACTACACAAATGTCCAGCTGTTGCAATGGTGCTCAAAACTATCGACCGAATTCCATTCGGTCTTACTGAACGGTGCTTATTCAATGACCGCGTGTGGTGGTGCCCGGTCGGTCGTCATCAACAGCAGCAGCAGCAGTGCTTTCGGCGCGTGGCGTCTAGTTTGGCAACTTTCCGTCAGTCATCAACACACACCCTGCAACAGGTAATCAATATGGAGCCTTGCGTCAAAAGACGATTAGGTAGACTTTAGAATTATCAACTTCTTTGTTCTGTAGTACAATTACGGTTCGAGCAAAACAAATATGTACACTGCACCTTGATAATACCGATTTTAACGATTTTAATACCGAATGACGAAGTACCGGGACACTCTGTATCGGTTATAAACACTGGTATTGTTTTCAAACTTGCTGCCAGCGGATATTTTCGGCAGTATAGATAAGCTGTTCAGACCGATTACCAAATTATACCACAGACAGACATAAAAATTAGTACCATAGAGGCAACAATCAATACGAAACTAACGATTTTAAATTGGCTCACTACTTGACTAGCCTATTGGTCCCAAGCAAACGATTAACGTACCTCATTCTAGTCGAAATTCTAGTACTACGCAATGTTTGTTTTGATTTGCTATGAAAGTTTGACAGATTAAATAAGGGGTTATTGGTTTTTCCTATGTTTCGAGGGGTGAATCGATTAGCTTGGGACCGAAGATAGTACCAGAGCTGAGCCAAAAATCTTAGCACGTTATTTCGGGACCTTCTAGTCTTAGATTTACCTCTATGATAGGGTTACTCTAAGACTAGAAGGTCCTGAAATAACGTGCTCAATTTTTTGGCTCAGCTCTAGTACTCTCTTCGGTCTCAAGCTAGTCGATTCACCCCTCGAAACATAGGAAAATCCACAAACCCCTCATTTCATCTGTCAAATTTTCGTAGTGGATCAAAACAAACATTGAATAGTACTCGAATTTTGACTCGAATGGGGTACGTTAATCGATTTGCTTGGGACCAATAGGCTAGTCAAGTAGTGAGCCAATTTAAAATCGCTGGTTTCCACCGGTTGGTTGTACTCATTTAATCTAGTACCTCAAAAAGTACAATTTGAACAAACCTATTATATAGGGTAAGTGTGCCAGTTTGTGACCCTCTAAATGACCCTACCCTAAACTTTACATATATTATTTCTTTTTAAAATTAATTTCGATACAATTTCGACAGATTTTGAAATGTATCCACCCAATTTAAAGTTATTTCAAAATTGAAATAGGCCCTATGGCCAAAATCACTTACCGTATTATAATTTTAACATGCTTCACGTTAATTTGATTTTGAATTTCTAAGGGTAAGTATCAACCTCATATTTCAAAACAAAAACTTCGATTAATCTGAACCATAGCATATCCGGATATATGCACAATATAAACCGGGCATTGAATGTTTAGATAATGGGGATAGGAATAAAACTCGTAGCTCTATTTTCTAATACGACTTACCGATTTTGCTGACGTAACATTTATCCACCAGCATGTCACATACAACTTTTTCACAGTTTTCCAATGTAGAACAATGCTGACACACGGGAACAGGATCGATGTTGCATTTATCCGAATCACACGGAACATTCAAGCTTATTGAACCGCCACCGCTGCAGCCACGTTCAACAACTCCGTTTTGATCTGAAAATCATATTTTGCGTTGTTGTAAATTGCTTCATGATATTTTATTACAACAAAGCCATACTTTTCCAAATTGCACAGTAAGGACAATCCTCTGTAGTTTCGATACCAGTTGCATCGGGACAATCTGTACATTTTACACAATTCCAGGCTGCCGTAAATTTAAATTCTCCTAAAACGAACAGCACCGTCATGGACAGTGGCACTACCCACTTCATTTTTCTTGGGCGATTGCACTATTTTTCTAACATACATACACTCTTGACAATTCAAACCACTCGACTGAAGTACCGATCAAAATGGAATCTTTAAATTCTTCGAATTTGCTGTCTTTATAATTTTCGTTATCTTTATAACCCATTATTAAAACTTATTACTCCGTCGGTTTTTCATAGGCAATAGTAACTCGGCTTTTTTATTAGGGTCCTGAGAAAGAGTAGCCCTCCCCTTCTTCTGCGTAGAATGTCGTACATACACATTTGAAACAAAATGTATGGACCGTAGACACATGCAAATTGACGATTCCACACTCATCCGATGTTATTGATTGAAATTGCGCTGTAATAATCGAGTGAGATCTTTCTTTGAAAATTACATCTGCCAGCCCTGCCCTTATCACTTATCAATTCCGTTTTCCTATAGCTTACCATAAATACCTTATTCCGGACGTAGCAAGCAGTCACTTACAAGCAATAAATGGATTGATAAACCTTGATAGTAGAATAATAAAAAAAGGCAATCAACAATCAATTCCATAGTTGAGGATGCTAATTTTCAAATAACAGACTAGAGTGGTGATTTTTATACGATAGATGAGGAGATGAAAGTATAGAGTTGATAGTTCCGTTAGAGTACGGCAGTGTGAAATTGTTTCTATAGAGAGTAGAAAGCGAGCAAGGACATCTTTTACGAATGAAGGTACAAATCGGTTTGATCATCTCTCTTTACCAAACTCCCCCGTTGGAGAGAGAGGGATGGTGAGGGGTATCGATACGATCAAGCCGGATAATGTGGTGATCTGTTAGGAGGCCCACGTCGATACTATGCTTGCGGGGGAAGCCAGCAAGCTCGAGCCTTTTTGCTCTTACTGAGCAAGCGTTCCATGTGACGACAGTAGTTATCGGCTTAGACACCACCATACTGAATAATAAACTTACCGAGCACTTGGATCTGCGTTCGGGCTTGTTGCGGCACTGACGAAGAGCGCTGGTCATGTCGACGAAAATCTTCATCAACTCATCCACAGAGAAGAGATCGGGATTGACGTTTTGTGCTGATGGTTGTCTCCAGAATCCAGGGGGGATGGGGAGCTTTGTCCAGCAGAAGCACCAGACGTTCCTTGACGGGGGCCGGATTGCACCCGCAGATTTGCTAGACCGTGTTGCGTAGCAGGAAGAGGTGGGAAGTCCTCCACTCTTAATGCCGGCGTATTGTCCTTCTTTCGTTCTGGTTGGTTTCTTGTGGACGCCTGCTTTCGGATCCGCTTGAAATCTGCACGTTTGAGGCACTGTTTGTCGTACCCTTGATGAGTGCCACCACAGTTGGCGCATTTGACCGTTTCCGACTCGTCGAAAACACATTCGGAGGAGACATGGCGCGGCTTGACGAAGCAGTTTCGGGTGCCGTGCCCGAGATTCAGACAACGCTAACACTGAGTGACGACGTGACCGCCGCCACGGTATGGCCATAGAGGTAACTCTAAGACTAGAAGGTCCCGAAATAACGTGCTCAACTTTTTGGCTCAGCTCTGGTACTCTCTTCGGTCCTAAGCTAATCGATTCACCCCTCGAAACATAGGAAAATCCACTAACCCCTCATTTTATCTGTCAAACTTTCATAGCGAATCAAAACAAACATTGTGTAGTACTAGAATTTTGACTAGAATGGGGCACGTTAATCGATTTGCTTGGGACCAATAGGCTAGTCAAGTAGTGAGCCAATTTAAAATCGATAGTTTCGTATTGATTGTTGGTATGGCTCCCTTCGGTCAATGATGGAATTGATGGATCAGATGGCCTTCAACGCATTGAGCGTCACCGTTCCCTTCTAGAAATGCACCAGGGAAAGGCAATCCGGATACTTCTTGACGTTCTCGCCCCTCCTTCCGCTTCGATTAACTTCGGGTCAAAGCTCGGTAAACCTCGGATGACCACTTTGAAGGGCTTCTCGCCTGGGATATCGTGATCGCGGAGCATCACCTTTGTTCCGATTCTACTGAGCTTGAACTCAGCTTTAATGCCCATTGACGTGAAGCTAGCGATGGGACAGGGTTGACTTCCTGTTGATAAGTGGATACAACGATCTTATCAAGATGTTGCACTTGGTTTTCGTTTTGTCAACGTGCTCCCTGAAAAGAAGCGTGCTGTCTAGTGTTAGCCCGAGGTACACGACCTCTTTGGACCAGTTAGAGCTCCGATGACCCTACCCTAGTAGACGATGGATGTGTCAGGTTGAATAGGATGGGACCAAGGATGCTTCCTTGTGGAACCCCGGCACCGATGTTGAAAGCATCCGATGTGATGCCATACAGAGAGACTCGAAACGTCCTGTCTGATAGATAGTTGTTTATTATCTTCACTAAAGACTAGACTAGAGACCGTAGTGCTGCAATTTGAACACCAGGCCATCATGCCAGACATTGTCGAACACTTTTTCAACGCCCAACAACGCCATGGCAGATGTTTTCGAAACAGACTTGTTCCGTCTGAGAATGTTTGCTACTCGAGTCACGAACGACCTTTCCGAAAACCAAACTGTTCCTCGAGTAACAAGTTGTTTTCATCGGCAGATGTTAGGAGCCGGTGGTACAGTGCTCTTTCGAACAATTTTGATAACCCTGAGAGAAGGCTGATTGGTCGATAACTCGAAGGAGAGGACGGATCCTTCTCAGGTTTCCGGATGGGTATGACTTTAGCTGACTTCCAACACGAGGGGAAGTAGCCAAGTCTGAGGCACTGATTAAAAATCAGTGCCTGATGGTTGTAGAATCTGGAACTCAAGTGTTTGAGTTTCAGATTCAGGATGTGGTCGAAACCTGGGACCTTCATGTTTTTAGATGATTTGATAGAGGCCAAAAGTTCGTCAACCATAATCTCAGATTACTCTGGAAAAATGTTAGGAATCTGAAGAAGATTGGTTGCATTTTCAGCAACCTCAGATTCATAAGGGCTGACGATGTTTTGTCCGAGATTATGGGAGCTGACGAAGTGTTGACCTATCGCGGCAGCTTTCTCTTCAGGAGTTATCAGATGAACCACTGGGTTGCCGGGACGATCCAGTGGGGTCAGTGGTGGAATGGGCCTGGGCTTGTTCTTAAGATTTTTTGTAAGTTTCCAGAAGGGCTTAGCACAATCTGGGAGAGAGTGGATCTTACTAGCAAAATCGTTATTTCTGAGATCCACCATCCTGGCCTGAATGATCTTTGTTAATCGATTACAATTGGTCTTCAAGTTAGACAGGCCAGTACGCTGGTAATGCCTACGAATGGTGTTACGGAGTGTGATGAGATCTTTGGTAGGGCTGTCAAGGTTCAGAGTGTTACTCACCTGTCTGGATACTGGCACGTGTTGTTCCCTGGCCCGGGAAATCGCCTCCTCGATGGTTTGTAGACACCGGTCAACATCTTCCGACGTCCCCGGTTGGACATCGTAGTCGATGGTTGTGTCAACGCAGTGTTGATATTGCGCCCAGTTGACTCGATGGTAGTTGCGCCGGGAAGCTTCGAATCGGTTTACCGAGGATCCAACTTCGGCCACCTCCGGGTAGTGGTCCGAGCTCAGCTCCTGGAATGCCACAGGTTGCGAGACGTTGTGTCCCATGTTGCTTACGAAGATGTCGATGGTCGCATGGACCCCAAACCGACTCAACCGGGTGGGAGAGTCCGGGGCCAAGATGGTATAGTGGCCCTCTTGCAGGTCTTCATTGAGGATGATGCCGTTTCTATTGCTCCGACCGTTGCCGCAAGCTTGGTGTTTTGCGTTCAGATCGCCAGCGATGATAAAGTTCCCGCTCCTCCGGGTGAGTTTGATGATGTCTTTCCGGAGGGCCACTGACGACCCGTCCCTGATGTTGGTTTGCTTGGGGCAGTAGGCCGCGATGATGATGATTGGGCCAAGTGATGTGCTCATCTCCACTCCGATGGCTTCAATTGTTTTCAGCTGGAAGTTTGGTAGCAGCCGGCAACTGATGTTCCGTCTTGCAGCGATGGCCACTCCTCCACCTCCAGAGCAGGTGCGATCAAGTCTGACGACAAGGAATACGTTCAGTTCGGGCTTCAGGTGCGTCTCGGTGATGACGGCTATGTCGATGTGCCGTTCGTTGAGAAAGTCAACAAACTCGATGTTTTTGCTCTTCAAGGAGCAAGCATTCCAATTTACGATCTTGATGGCTTCACGGTCCATACTTAGTGACAAGGGACAGGGCAGCGTGTAGTTGTTCAGATCGAGTCTTGCATGTGCGTATGATGATGATGACCTCGGCCACGAGCGTCACTAGTTCCTCCGAGGTGAACGGAGAATCGTCGACAGGCTCGCCTGAAACAGCACCAGCATATGATAAACCAGGGGTGGTGGATGAACCAGGAATTGGCTGGGCTTGTTGGTTGTTGAGCGGAAGCGGGGCTAGGTTCTGAACGTGTCGACGGGGCTGGAGAGCTGGGTACTGGACTTCCGTGAGTACAGGAGGCGAACGATGATTACGGAGGCGACCGAGCTGGTTGTTGATTGTGGCCTTCCGACGGATATTAATGAACTCCACTCGCTTGGGACATCCGCGATTGGAGGCTTGGTGGTTTCCACCGCAGTTGACACACGTTGGCTCGATGTCATCGACTTGCTCACAGGACGCAGTTGAGTGAGTTCCAGCACACTTGCCGCAGTTTGTCTTCAAGTGGCAGTTTTTGGTGCCATGGCCATATGAGCGCCAGTTCATACACTGCGTTACATCACGATGTTGGGGTTTATAATGCTGATGATGACCTGAAACAGATCCCGGATTTTGGATCTCAGAGCCGCAAGACTGGTGGATCCCTTCGTGAAATGCACCAGGGACAACTCATCACGGAAGCTGGTGTTGTGGTTGGGACGCCGGTTCATCGGGTACACTGCCTCAGGCTTAAGGATTTCACCGCAGCAGCCTCGAACGACGGTAATCCACGCAAAACCACCTTCAGTGGCTTGCTCGATGGCAGATCATGCGTGAAGAAGTCCACGTTGTTGTCGTTCAGGAAGCATCCTATTTGTTTGTACTCCTTCAGGCTGGAGCACATGATTTTGGTACCGATTCTGCAAAGCTTGAAGCGAGGCAGCAGCTTGTCTTTTACCAGTTCGGCACCCAGCTTGGCAACATCCTTCATCGGCGTGAAAAGCGGGGGAATGCGCTCTCGTCTTGCAATGGGAACGGCGTCACCGTGTAGTGAATACCCCTAATCAAGGAGTGAGACAGCTTTGCTCTGAGTTGGTTTTTTTGCAGCGAGTAACTCGCGAGTAACTCACTGTATCTCAAAATTTAATCGACGTTCATCGATGTCTTTGTCTTTTTACTGGCTTACTTTGTTTATCCCTTTCACATTTTAGACGTAAAGACGTAAACAATATAGAATTGATCCAATGATCGGTTATTGAAGACTTTGTTCAGAAAATGGCTTGAACGATGCTGGAAAAGGGCGTGAATATGAATTAACTGAAGGTAGGTGAACATATGCGATTTGTTTTCGTAAAATAACCACAGCAATCGTTTTCAGATGTCCACCGAGGAGAATGTGAAATCGTTGTGGGAAATCACTGGCATACATAAGAAATATCTCTCCTGTTGGATAAAAACCGAATAACATCCGATTTCCAATTCCAGCTTCGAAGGAAACGCTGCCAACCACTAGACCTGAATGTTCAGCCAGAGCATCAACACAGTCGACACTGCTGAAGTCGCCCAGGATGGAAATCTTTCACCAAGGCCCTTTGCACTCCTGGAGGTGCGCAGGATCGTTAAGTAAAGTAAACAACAAACAAACATGGAATTTTCTCTACAATTATCAACCCCCAAGCCGACCACAGCGGATTATTACTAATTGTATATTTTTCTCATTACATTGTTTGCCAGCAGCAAGCAAAGTACATATGTAAGATACTGTATGTATATATACTTATTGTTTCAATGTTGTTTACCAGGTTTTGTGTAAAAATGCTAGAGTTTCACTGGGCCTTAGTTTTCAGCCTTCGAGCCACTTGTTTTCTTTGCCCCTTCTTCCGGCTCCTGTGTGAGTGTATGTGAGTCTGTTGCAATTACAGTGTTCATATGTTACTTGTTTTGTTTATGTTTTTGTTTATCAAGGGAACAATCCAAATTTTAATCAGTAGTAGTATCTAACTTATCTTCTGGTTGTATCGATATTGAGAAGCTTCATCGTGACAGTTTGGAAAAACATGATACGGAATATTAACTAGTCTTTTTAATAATGTTTTTTTTTTTTTGTTGTTGTTGTTGTTATGCTGAAAATTTCAATAGCCTATAATAATAGTCCAATAATTGTACAATAATGCTTAATATAAATATAGTCATGCTTGAATTAAAGGAATCACGTTTCGTCAATCTGTGTGGTGTGAGTCGTCGGTTGTGATCTTCAATTTTGTAAATAATCATTTCATATGTCCTTTAATTTCTGTGATACGAAGTAATATTGTGGCTTAGTGCTAAGTAGTAAACGTCACTCGTCGCTTTTTTTTTAATAAAGACCCAGATATGGTAGTGCCAAAGAATGCAATTGAAACTGTAGCATTGAAATCTAATAACGATGTTATTGCAAGCACAAACCAGAGAGGCAATGGCACACAATTATTTAAAAAAAAAAAACTATCCGTACTCGTTAAAAAGAAAGTGTATATAAACAATGCACGGGTGTTACGATTCTTACAATTTAACACATGAAATCATCACAATTGTTTCTCAGAGTGAGTTGTCAGAATAATAAATATGCAGCACGATAAAATTTATATAATTTACAAAATTTCCTGCTTATGTTAAGTTGTTTACTAACTTTCGTAGATTTGTCCGATTGTTTTCTTAAGAAGATTTTGTGCACCGGCTTCGATTTGCACCACACACTTTGCTGTTTTTTTTTTTTTTTTGTTTAGTCCACCTCACCTCTAGAGTTCTACAAATACACGCATAAGCCATCCTTTCCTAGTTATCAATACCATATTAGACTTACAAATTGGTTTTGAGCATTTTTCACTTGACTAGCTTCCAATATATATCTCAGCCAACCCTCCATCGGACCATCGCGTGCGTGGATCGATGACGGGCAGCTGAAAGGCTCACATGCACAAAATCTCAAAGCTTCACCAAAGCGATAGATCCCTAATTAATGTAGATTTTTAGTCGTTACGCAAGCAAACCGATCGTGAACTGATTGCTTCTTGATAGAGATATTCTGCACCATGCATACTGTCCGGAAGTAACGAAAATTTGAAGACGAAGGGAAGTTCTACGTTAGGTATTTTACGTTTTGACATATGTATCTGTGTTGTAGGTGTACTGAATGAATGTGTGGTCTGTACTTGTTTTGAGTGTTTTGTTCTTGTATATTTGTAGAGAGTGTTGATCAACATGGTCATGGAGATTGGCAGTTGGTTGGATTTGTCACATATTGCAGTCTCTGTTGATTCCGTTCGTTACACACATTCGAGACACAACTACTGTGGTCTGCTACAGTAAAAATCAAAACACCGTTAAACAACTGGTTTCAGCTCTCCTTGGCGGCTTCTCGGCACCAGGTTAATGTGTATGCGTATAAAATGCGATAGAAAGTGTATGGTTTTACTAAACTATATCAAGGTTACGCACTAATTTACATTGCTAGTAGTATGGTTTACTCTTCCCATTCCTTCTCGTCGACGCCTTCCATGTCGTCCTGCTCGAGCTTACGATTGATGGGCATCCGGGCGCTGACCGAGTTTTTGATCTGCAAAATGGTAAGAATAAGAGGTTTACGGTTCGATTACAGACAATACAAATACGGAACTAACGATTTTAAATTGCCACATTACTTGACTAGCCCATTGGCCCCAAGTGAAGGTATTTCCATTGTGTTAGCCCTCACCATAAATAATACTTTATGATATTTATATGTGCATGACGGCCCTTCTGGCAACACTGTATGTGAGAGTAAGACCCCCAGAATACTACAACCCTGGAATATCACCATCGCTGCTACAGCTGATCTTCAACAAAACACGAGTGAATAGGCTACGAGTCGAGATGTGTCTATTGTCCTGTACGTAACACGTAAGGGATAGCGATCATCGTCGGTCGGCGGACATCGAGCAGTAGCTGAGATGACCAACGAAGAGCACAGAACTGTTCTAAGCGAAGTTGGACCGATCGGACGGAGAACGTGAGAGGGAGATTTGGTCTACGCGGTCACGGGTCAAGCGATGACCAGATCAGGAGACGAGAGCCAGTTGTTTGGGGTCGCCGCATAGAATGGTTGTATCCCATCAGAGATGAAGAGTTTTTTTATTAATATACAATTAAATGTCATTAGTGTAGTCAATGTACTAAATGTGTTTTTAATATAATAAGTGTAGTTTTTGTGTAAACTCTGAAATTTAAAACCCACCCCGCGAGTGTTTGTTTAGTGTTGAAGCCAGAAGTATCCGGACCAACATTGGAAGGACTGTGACCCCATTTTAACCAGCGAGTAATTGGATTCCCCGCAACCTCCCTTCCCTCAAAAACGCCATCACCAAAACAAACGTTGGCGGTACTAAGCCAACTGGTATTTCCCAATCAGTGTTGGAGTCGGCGGATCATCTCCACTGCCGAATATCGAAGGAGGTAAGGACCGACTAACCAACATTTTGGTCCTTCGAGCCGGATTTTTATACCAATTTGGTGTGGAAATTTGATAACTTTGGAATGGTACTGCTGTTGGAACCTCCAGGTAGGTTGCCACAGTATATGCCCAGCCGAGGCTTAGGTTTCTCTGGATATTACACTCCAAATTCTTCTCTTCTGTGAACTTCAACCTAAAATTGAGTGATCCCTACCGAGTTACGTCATCGGACCTTTTGCTACTTTGGTTCGAATTTGGATTCAGAACAGTTACCTGTTCTGCCAGGTCAGTAATAGCGAGCAGTATATGTCCGCCGAAGCGGAGAGATTACACGCGGAATACTACCAACAATCAATACGAAACTAACGATTTTAAATTGGCTCACTACTTGACTAGCCTACTGGTTCCAAGCAAACGATTAACGTACCCCATTCTAATCGAAATTCTAGTATTACGCAATGTTTGTTTTGATTCGCTATGAAAGTTTGACAGATAAAATGAGGGTTTATTGGTTTTTCCTATGTTTCGAGGGGTGAATCGATTAGCTTGGGACCGAAGATAGTACCAGAGCTGAGCCAAAAAGTTGAGCACGTTATTTCGGGACCTTCTAGTCTTAGAGTTACCTCTATGATACTACGCCTCCAATTTCTTTACCGATTGTTCGACATCACATCAAAATGCCACCCACCACCCGGAAAGGATTGTCATCCCTGAAGCAACTGAGGGTTCAATTGGACGATTTGAAATCCTCGTTCGATGACATTTGGTCTTTCATTCAGAAGTTTTCTGATGAAACCACCGGTACTCAAGTCGAAGTTCGATTAGAACGGATCGTTGATTTGTGGGAGAGATTTAGTGAGAATTTGGTCGAGCTAAAATCTCATGAAGACTTCGAGGATGAGGAGATTATTATAGTAAGTTACGCAAGCACTTGAGCGATCGCTATTATGAAGCCAAAACCTTTCTGTTGGACAAAAGCAAGGCCCTTCGCGTTTCTTCTGAGTTGGAACAATCCGCCCATGAACAATCAATGTCAGGTGTTGTCGGTCATGTCCGGTTACCGCAGATCAAACTCCAATCATTCAACGGTGACATCGATGACTGGTTGAGCTTCCGAGACCTGTTCACCTCGCTCATCCACTGGAGGACTGATTTACCTGAGGTGGAGAAATTTCATTATTTGAAAGGGTGTCTTCAAGGTGAACCTAAAAGCCTAATCGATCCACTGAAAATTACCAAGGTGAATTACCAGATAGCTTGGGATACTCTGGTAAAGAGGTACAACAACAACAAGCTGTTGAAGAAGAAGCAGGTCCAATCGTTCTTCAAACTTCCGACCCTCTCCAAGGAATCTGTTACTGAGTTACGAAATCTGGTGGAAGGTTTTGACCGAGTCGTCCAACACTTGATCAAATCGTGGAACCTGCTGAGTACAAGGATCTCCTATTGGTAAATCTTCTCACGATGCGACTGGATCCATCAACTCGTCGAGCATGGGAAGAATATTCGGCCAACAAGGAGATGGATTTACTGATAGACCTCACCGAATTTCTGCGTCAGCGAATGCAAGTACTGGAATCCCTTCCATCTAGGCAGACGGACAACAAGATCGTCCATCAGCAACAACCACCAACGAAACCGAAAGCTTCAGCAATCAAGGCAAGCTACAATTCGATTCAATCGTCAGGAGGAAGATGTGTGGCCTGTAAGGACAACCACCTTCTATACAAATGTTCCGCATTCCAAAGACTTTCTGTGGCGGATCGGGATTCTCTACTGAAATCTCAGGGACTTTGTCGGAATTGCTTTCGATCGGGGCATCAGGCAAAGGATTGCCAATCCAAATTTTCCTGTCGGATCTGCAAGAACCGTCATCACACCCTGGTTTGCTTCAAATCGGAGAAGGATCACACTGTAACGGTCGCAGCGATTGCTGAAGGCAATCATCCTTCAAATTCCAAGGAATCCCAAGGCTCCTCAGGTTCCAATTCAATCCAACTGGCTAACGTGGCAGCCACTGACGTTTCGTTATGCGGTACGTCTAATCAACTCACGTCGCAAGTCCTTTTAGCGACAGCGGTAGTCATCGTCGAGGACGATGTTGGTTCAAGGTACCACGCCCGTGCTCTTCTTGATTCCGGTTCAGAGAGCAACTTCATATCGGAACGGTTAACCCAAAGGATAAAGGTAATCAGGAATAAGGTCGACGTCTCGGTTCTTGGTATAGGACAAGGGACTACCAAGGTCAAACATACAGTCCAAGCGGTCATACGTTCGCGAATCTCGGATTTCTCGCGAGATATTAGGTTTTTGGTGCTACCCAAGGTGACTGCGAATCTCCCTACAACCTCAATCAACACGGAAGGGTGGATTCTACCGAATGGAATTGAGCTAGCGGATCCTGCATTCTTCACGTCCAAGGAAGTCGACATGGTGCTAGGCATCGAGGCTTTCTTCGAATTCTTCGAATCGGGGCGAAGGATTACAATCGGCAAACATCTACCAAGCCTTACAGACTCGGTGTTCGGTTGGGTAGTATGTGGTGGCTGTTCAACTCCTATCAAATCCCTACAAGTCAACTGCCATTTCTCAACGTCCGAGGACTTGGAAAAATTGATGGCACGTTTCTGGTCGTGCGAGGAGGTGGAATTCACGGACGCTTATTCTCTGGAGGAGAAAAAGTGTGAAGAATTATTTCAACGTGGAGTTCAAAGAGGTCCAGAAGGTCGTTATACTGTTCCCCTACCCAAAAACGAAGACGTTCTTCCAAACCTGGGCGAGTCACGGGACATCGCATTCCGACGTCTTCTCGGAACGGAACGAAGATTGGCAAGGGACGCCAACTTACGGGAACAATACATCGGATTCATGGACGAGTACCTGAAACTGGGGCACATGCGCAAGGTCGAAGAAACTACGGAGGGACCGGTCAAACGGTGTTATCTTCCCCATCATCCGGTGGTCAAGGAGGCGAGTACCACCACCAAGGTCAGAGTAGTCTTCGACGCCTCGTGTAAAACGTCATCCGGAGTGTCCTTAAACGATGTACTTCTGGTAGGGCCAGTTGTGCAGGAAGATTTGAGGTCAATTATCCTACGCAGTCGGATGAAGCAGATTCTCCTCGTATCGGACATCGAGAAGATGTTCCGACAAATCCTTACGTGGCTCAAGGATCGACCACTCCAGTTCGTATTATTTCGCTTTTCTCCGGACGAGGAAGTCGCAGTGTACGAACTGAACACCGTTACGTATGGAACCAAACTCAGAGCAATTCGTGAGGACGTCTATATGGATGACGTCATCACCGGTACGGACGAGGTGGATGCAGCTATCAGTCTCAGAAACCGGTTGACCGAGATGATGCTGTGTGATGGGCTTGCAATGTTCCCGAAGTTCTGGAAGGCGTACCCGAAGAAAACCTGGCTCTTCGAGACCCTAAAGGAATCAACCTGGATTCTGATCAATCCGTCAAAACGTTAGGACTAACGTGGATGCCTATTACCGATACCCTTCGATTCCAGCTCACAGTTCCTCCGATAGAACCTGGTGTCCCGTTGACGAAGCGTCGAATATTGTCACTAATCGCAACGCTGTTCGATCCGCTTGGATTGATTGGTGCCACGACTTCGTCTGCCAAGATCTTCATGCAGCAGCTTTGGACGTTGCAAGACGAGACCGGCAATCGGTTGGATTAGGATCAACCAGTACCTTTGATGGTGGGTGAGAATTGGCGGAAATTTCACGAAAAACTCCCATTGTTGAATGAAATTCGAGTCGATCGCTGTGTCATCATTCCCAAGGCAGTACTAGTGGAAATACACTGCTTTTCAGACGCTTTGAATCAGGATTCCAGCGGAACAATCAAGGTTCGACTCTTATCATCCCGATCCAAGGTGGCTCCACTCCGTTGCCAGTCTATCCCACGATTAGAGCTCTGTGGTGCGCTATTATCGGCCCAGTTATACGAAAAGGTCAAGGATTCTACTCGGTTAGCGGTTCAGACTTTCTTCTGGACAGATTCAACATGTGTGCTGCGTTGCATCGAATCTACGCCAGCAACATGGACCACGTTCGTTGCCAACAGGGTGGCAAAAATTCAAACGCTAACGGAGGGATGGCAATGGAGACATGTGCCTGGTACAGACAACCCAGCGGACCTAATATCACGTGGAGTGTCACCCGAAGATATCGTCGACAATGAACTTTGGTGGGAAGGTCCGAATTGGCTGAAGGCGGGTCCAGTAGCATGGCCTGGTGCTGTCGAAGAAATCCCAGGAGGAGAGGCGTCGTACCGTAGTTGCGTGTACTGTATCACCCGTAGCAGAATTCATCGAAGTGTATCTCAGCAAGTTCGGATCGTATTCTGACTTGGTTCGACGAACAGCATACTGGCTTCGACTCATGAAACTCCTACGAATACCAACAGCAAGTCGTCCTCCCGCAAATGAATTCCTCAACGCTGCAGAACTCAAAGCTGCTGAAAACGCAGTGCTCCGGAACGTCCAACGCGAGGTCTTCGCAGAGGAATGGAAGGCTTTATCGAAGGGAGAGTTTGTATCGAGGAAGTCCCCGTTGAGGTGGTTTCACTCGTTCGTCTGCAAGGATGGACTAATAAGAGTAGGAGGTCGACTGAAGAATTCCGAGGAATTGGAGAGCACCAAGCATCCTCCAGTTCTACCAGCACGGCACCAGTTAACCCGGTTGTCCGTTGCTTTCACGAGCGATTACTACATGCCTGTCCACAACTGCTACTGGGAGCAGTCCGGTTGCAATTCTGGCCACTCGGTGGAAGAAATGTAGCAAGGGAGATAGTTCACCGTTGCGTGAAATGCTTCCGAACGAAACAGTCCACAATGCAACAGTTCATGGGTGAATTGCCGTCATCCCGCGTCAACGTTTCACGTCCGTTCACGAAAACAGAAGTAGATTACTTCGGCCCTGTCTACATCCGACCAGCCCCCAGACGAGCTGCAGTGAAGGCCTACGTATCGGTGTTCATTTGCCTCTGTACCAAAGCAGTACACCTGGAATTGGTCTCCGATCTTTCGACGGATCGTTTTTTGCAAGCCTTGCGACGGTTCGTTTCACGGAGAGGAAAGTGTTCGGATATCTATTCCGACAACGGTACGAACTTCGTCGGTGCCCGGAACAAGCTAACAGAACTATACAGTTTGCTGAGCGATCGTACCCATCGTGACCGAGTCACTAGTGAACTGGCTAAGGACGGAATTCAGTGGCACTTTAACCCACCTAGCGCGCCACATTTCGGAGGACTCTGGGAGGCAGCAGTCCGGTCGGCTAAGAACCATCCCATCAAGGTGATAGGAGAGACCCCAGCGTCATCGGAAGATTTCTGAACACTACTTACACAGGTTGAGGCCTGTCTAAATTCCCGTCAGTTGACACCGATGTCGGATGATCCAAACGATTTGGAGCCTTTGACACCAGCACACTTTTTAGTCGGTTCTTCGCTGCAGGCTCTCCCCGACCCTGAATTCACGACCATTCCACCGAATCGACTGAATCATTACCAGTTGATGCAGCAAAAATTACAGCATTTCTGGATTAGGTGGCGCCGAGAATACTTGAGTCAACTGCAAGCTAGGACCAAGCGATGGAAGCCAGCAGTTCCCGTTGAAGTAGGCAAGCTCGTCGTTATTAAAGATGATAACCTTGCTGCCATGCGCTGGAAAATGGGAAGAATCGTCGCTATACACCCGGGTGAAGACAACGTAGTTAGAGTCGTGACCCTGAAGACAGCCACAGGAGAACTCAAACGTCCGGTGGAGAAAATTTGCATGTTGCCACTTTCAAACAGCCAAGAGGAAAACCAAATTTATGCAACCTTGTCGTGAAAACCCGCTCCTATATACCCTTCCCAAAATCCCAATCCTTCCGAAGAGGAATTTTTTTATTTTCTTTCAGAAATTTGGCGCATTTCTGGGTGGGTGAGGATGTACGAGAGTAAGACCCCCAGAATACTACAACCCTGGAATATCACCATCGCTGCTACAGCTGATCTTCAACAAAACACGAGTGAATAGGCTACGAGTCGAGATGTGTCTATTGTCCTGTACGTAACACGTAAGGGATAGCGATCATCGTCGGTCGGCGGACATCGAGCAGTAGCTGAGATGACCATCGAAGAGCACAGAACTGTTCGAAGCGAAGTTGGACCGATCGGACGGAGAACGTGAGAGGGAGATTTGGTCTACGCGGTCACGGGTCAAGCGATGACCAGATCAGGAGACGAGAGCCAGTTGTTTGCGGTCGCCGCATAGAATGGTTGTATCCCATCAGAGATGAAGAGTTTTTTTATTAATATACAATTAAATGTCATTAGTGTAGTCAATGTACTAAATGTGTTTTTAATATAATAAGTGTAGTTTTTGTGTAAACTCTGAAATTTAAAACCCACCCCGCGAGTGTTTGTTTAGTGTTGAAGCCAGAAGTATCCGGACCAACATTGGAAGGACTGTGACCCCATTTTAACCAGCAAGCAATAGGATTCCCCGCAACCTCGCTTCCCCCAAAAACGCCATCACCAAAACAAACGTTGGCGGTACTAAGCCAACTGGTATTTCCCAATCAGTGTTGGAGTCGGCGGAACATCTCCACTGCCGAATATCGAAGGAGGTAAGGACCGACTAACCAACAGTATGTTTATCGCTTAACAACAACAAAGTAAATAACGACAATAGCAAAGTTTAGTCTGTTCTTCCGTGAAGTGCCGTGTATTGTTATGTTCAATCTTTCCGAAGCCAATACGTATGTGTCCACTTGCACCCCATGCGAACTTTGCCCGCCTCGGTCCACTCACAGGTTATGGGCCCAGAGCAAGTGCCGGAAGGTGACAAAGTGATTCCATGCTCGATTCGACGGTGAATATTCTCAAATAAATCTCAAAATCTTTAAAAATGTCTTATGCTTGATACTCTTTCGACTACTGTTTCCACTTCCTTGACGTTTTTGAAAATGGTCAGATGATTAGAAATATTCCGGTAGCATCGTTATTATCAAGGAAGTTTCGACTACTCTGAGGATGATCAGAGAACTCCAAAACAGCCTCTTAACTTCAGGAAAACAACAACCACAAGATTTTTTAAGGAATTCCGTAGAATTATCACATCCCCAAAAATCTCTTTCTTCCAGAATTATGTCTTTGTTTCTTTCGATTGTTCTCGAGGAAGTTTCTTCTATCTTCTCCAGGAAGTTCAGTTAAATTTCTGGCAGAAGTTTCTTTCGTCTTCTGCTGGAAGTTTGTCCATAAGCCATAGGTTTATTTTCAACTTCTATTGGAAGATTTTTCCGAGCTTCTTCTGGTTTCCCCTGCAAATGGCTACTTCTGGAATTTACTTCCGATTTCCGAAACTTTTCTGGCTTCCTTTGAAAACGACATCCGATTTAGTCTCGGAAGTTCCCCGGATGTTTTTCCGATTTTCTTAAAAATTTTCTCAAACTTCGTTCAGGAGAGCTTCTTTCTTCTTTCTCAGGATGTTTTTTCCTTGGTTTTTTCAGCTTCTTTCAAAAGCTAATTTAAACATTCCCGGGAGTTTTCTTCGAAAACTCTATTTTCTCGAAGTTTTATTGAAGAAAAAATAATCAAAATAAGATTCCATTGTTAAGTTTAAGTTGTATTGGAAATTAATCACTTTGTCAAGCAGACATTCCACAAAACTGAACCGACTAATTTCTATTTTTTTATGAAACGCACAAATGATGGCTACTTTTCTCGTGGTTCTAGAAGAAAAAATCTCAAAATAATGTTTTATTTCAAAGTTCGAGTGGTAGTAAACGTCATTTTAACTGCTCGAATGAAGTGGTTAATTATTTTTTAAACTAAGCGAATTGACGAGTGCACGGATGGATTTGAGTTCACTCACTCGACAAAAAGTGACACAACAGCGGGGCCCTGTTTACTAAAAATGAACACATATATGTTCATTTCTAGTAAACAGGGCCCCGCTGTTGTGTCACTTTTTGTCGAGTGAGTGAACTCAAATCCATCCGTGCACTCGTCGATGGTGTGTGATCCGTTAATCACATAATTCGAGCAGTTTTAAATGACGCTTCCTGTCACTCGAACTTTAAGCGCTGGCCAGACTGAGCAGTTGTCAAATAATCGCAACACAGAAACGACCATCAAAATAACACTATAACATGTTATAACGCTATAGTCCGAACGTAATATAACCACTGAATATGTCATACAAATTCGGTAACATATTGCAGCTTGCAGAACTGCAGAACACTAATAAAATAAAACATAAATGAAACTCTGCTTTCTCAAGGCTATAAAGTTTGAAAATATTATTTTATGGAAAAGTTCGAGCAGTGAAGCGTCGTTGTAAACGGCTCAAATGATGTGATTAACATTTTCCTTTGGTAGAACGACACCCCAAAACTGCTTGAAAAACGTATTCAATATGTCCCACTGTGCTCGTACGGCTCACATCTCCATCGAAAACTTCATCTTCAAAGTGTTCATCCGTCTCTCTGTTTTCGTTTTCTCGTTTTGTTTCCCGGCGGTGCGCTCTCTTCGGGTGACTCTCTCTCTCTCACGCTCAGAGTTCACCCTAACCTGTCAAAGTTGTCATCAATCCAAAAACTCGGCGTCGTGTTTCAGTCCTTTATTCAATTCGCGCACCTTTATTGTAATCTATCAGCGAATAATTCGCTTGCGATTGTACTGATTCTTCTACGGTTACGAAGCAAGACGGCCTTGCACCATGGGACCACCAATAGCAGCAAACCAGACGACACCCATCACACTGGACGACGGATTGGATCAGATGACGCGCGACTATTACGATCCGATGCTGAACCGGTACGACACCGGTCCGGGAGCCGATTTGGACGATCAGCAGCAACCGGGAGCGTTGGCTGCTTCTGCGGCGGCGGCAGCGACCAGCCGATCGAGCAACAACACAGCCCACAGCGAAACGCAGGCCGTTAAGATAAGGTTGAAGAACACCCGGGATCTGACGGAGGAGGGCTTGCGGCAGCTGTGCCGCGTGTACGGAACGGTGATCAATGTTTACAAACTCAAGCAAGACCAAGGCCATACAGCTTTTGTCGAGTTCTCGAATCAAAGGTAGGGGCAATTCCTTGTTTTTTTAATAACCAAATTGTTGGAATAGTTTTCTGATTGCATTGCAGTGAAGCGGGTTTGGCCATCCAGGAGCTGAACCGGAAGTTGGGTTTTCAGTTCTATCCTGCCTTCGCCCACGAGAAGAAAACCTTGAAGGTGATGGATATGAATCTGCCCGCACCGCCGCCGCCCTTCGAATCCGGTACCGGGGAACAGCTGATTCAGACGATCGAAGCCAGCACCGACGAGGAGAACTGGGAAATGACACTAGCCCCGCGGAGGATCAAGACCGGATTTTCAATACCGCTGAAAATAAGATTTCCGGAAAAGAGCTCGTTGGCCACAGCACTGCACTACACTGCCCAGCAAGGGAAGGTGAACCCGCTGGCCAGGGTGGATGAGAATCAGATTTTCAGCATTCCCACCGCGGTGGAATACGACCACCGTGGGTTGAAATCGTTGTAAGTAGGAACGTAGGTCAGGGTGTCGGGATGATGCGGCTTAATTTTTAAACTATTGCAGGATTGACGCGAAGATTGAGGAGCGCATGGTTAATTTAGCTAAGCGGGAAGGTGTTAACCAAGTGGAACCAAAAGGCAACGTCAAAGGCAAACCAGTCTTCGGTTATAGTGGTCTGGCGGAACAGAAAAGCAGCCTCTTTCCGGATGCCTTCTGTACGACATGCAAACTACGAGGATTCTTTAGTTGCAGCATCTGTGGAACTCCGTACTGCTCGAAGCACTGTCAGCACGCAGATTATGTTCGCCATAAGGCCGAATGCCAGTCGGAAGAATCCACGGAAACGGATGGAGGTACTGCTCGAAGCAAACACGGCGGATTCGAGGATCTAGACGATGCCTGTTTGGTCCAAGAAGACTTCCGGAAGGGATCCCACATTGTGATCCTATCGGTGCTATGTCCGGAGCGAGTGTTCGTACGTTCGCTGGACAAAGAAAGCAACAAGGAATACCTGCAAACGTTGAGCGATATAGCCAAGGCCGGATTGACCGCCGGAAAGCTGTCCGGTCGTCCTGAACCGGGTGACATATGCCTTGCCATCTATGGACCACTGAACATCTACGCAAGGGTATTGATTATCAGGGTCACCAAAACGGAAGCCCTATGCGTCTACATCGAATTTGGCCTGATCCAAGTCGTTGACCTAAATGAATTCCGAATCCTAACTGACAACGACCTGAAACTGCGCAAAGTCCGCGTTCACAAGGTCCACCTAAAGGGCATCACCGAAGAGTACGGTCATATCGACAAAGCCATGACCTATCTGGACAGCCTCATCGATCAACCGCTGGAGATGAAGGTACAACTGGAGGTAGGCAACCTGGTGGACGCCGAACTGCGCACCGCAGCCGGGACCAGCGTCAACAAGAAAATCAATGAAAGCATAATCATTCCCATCTACAAAGTCGTCGAATCGTCGGAATGCTACGTGGACTACAAAACGGTTCCGCACAAAACCCTTCCCGCGAACCAAGAGCTGGACATCGTGATACTTAATCGAACGACCGTCAAACTGGACTTCCGTGTGTCTCTCATCGCGTACGACGACCTTCCCTACCTGGAAGACCTACAACATAAACTCCAAAGCTATGGTAGGAAGGTAAGCAAATTCGCCGAACACTACACACCGCGCCTGCACGAACTGTGCCTGGTGCGAAACATGGACACGTGGTACCGGGCCGTCTGTCTGGAATCGGTCGGAGACGGGCGGCCGACCGTCTACCTATGCGACTACGGGTGCCTCATAATGGCCAAATTGGAAGAGCTGCGGAAAATACCGCCCTCCCTGGCGATGGAAGTCCGCACGACGGATGCGCTAGTTTCCGGTCTGGAGGAAGCGGCCAAGGTGGGCTTGAAGATCGATTCGGAATTCCTGGATATCTACCTGGAGGAGAACGAACGGATGACGGTGCAGACGAGCGAGGAGATGGAGTTCAAGGAATTCGAAGACACCCTCTCCAAGGACGAGACTTCGATGCTGACGGTGATCAAGGTGCCGGACCTGATCACTTTCATCGCAGATCGGGCCCAATGCGGTGAGTCTTTGCAAGGCTTTGCCCCAGCTACTACTGGCGGGGTTCGTAGGGTTGTGAAATAGAGTGGGGTCTTTGGCTAGGAGCGAATAACGAGCGATGATATACTTGTGTGGTGGAAAAAATGAGAAATCCGTCGCAAGTTGTATTAGGGTATGGTGAGATTTTTATTTGAGGAAGTTTAAGAAAAGTTTTAACAAATCGAAGCTTTTTAGACGTTTCTAAAAAGTCCGAAAAATCTTTTTTTTTCGCAAGACTTACACATGTGAACTGAAGATTACAAAATTGATGACAACTCTATTCGTGTAGTCAAACTCAGTTTACTTTGTAATAACCCTGGTCTTTGGGGACAAGATTAAGTAGTGTCAGGTAAAGACAGGGTGGTAATTAAAATTCCGTTTTTAAAATTCCAGAGCTTCTTCGTCTTGGTCAATATTTCGAGGGATCTATGCAGGCCTATTCTACGCGGCGAGGTGAATGAGGTGAGGTGATATTTGATTTGCACGGTGATTAGTGACAGAGTCACACGACACACAGAATAGGGAGGAATTGGCTTGTTTTGAGAAGCTTTCTGGAAACTCAGGAAACTTCGTAGAACTTCCGTTAACTCCGTCGAAGGGCAGAGAATTTCCTAGAAATTCACAGAACTTTGAAGAACTTCATCGAACTTTGAAGAAATTTAGCGAATTTTTATTTAACTTGAGACAACTTCGTAAAACTTCAGGGACTTCGTAGATGTTCGTTGAAATATAGGAAACTTCTTTGGAATTTTGGTGGAAAATTCAGAGAACATGGTAGAAAATTGGGAAACTTCGTGAAGTTGGATTGATGGTTTAATCTCAGGGAAACTTTCCTTTAACTTCCGGAAGCTAAATGGACTTGGAAAATGTCAGGAAATTCCGCAGACGTTCCGGAAACTTAGTAGAACCTCAGAAAATGTCATACAACATCAACGTAGAAGTGCAGCGAACTTCATAGTAGTGCAACTAATTTTGAAAAAGTTTAGCAATTCGAGAAGCTTCGTAAAACTTTATCGAGGTGCATGGTATTCTGTTGAATTTCAGGGAACTTCTTAGAAAGTTCGCCAAACTTTGTTGACGCCCAGTATATTTCGTTGAAGTTCAGGGACTTTCGTTGAACTTCTAAGGGATCCTCGTATCAGTTTAAGAATCTTCGCGGCAGCTTGTCTGAGAGAACTTACATTTAAAAAAAAATCAATGAACTTCCGGGAAGATTTTAGGAACTTCGTTTCATATATTCAGAGAACGACCCTGAAGTTCAGAAATGTTCATCCATCGCAGGTCGACACCCAGACAGTAACCGGCCCATTCGGCTTCGAGTTGCTAGAGCAATTTTGGAATCACGTCTCCTTTATGGAATCGAAGTTACCTGTCTTGCTCGCGATCAACTTATTACAAAACTAGCCTCTACATACCATCAAGCTATCCGTATCTCATCCGGCCTACTACCATCCACACCTGCAATTGCAGCTTACGTCGAAAGTGGAGTACTACCATTCAACCTTCTAGTTACTCAGGCCATCTGCAACCGATCAATTAGCTTCGAGGAGAAGACAGCTGGCTCAGATGAAGGAGTTTTCCTCCTTACCGAGGCTAAACAGCTCCCTTCAGCCATCGCCAATTTGGAGCTGCCCCCGGTGTCTAGCATACATTGGTGTGGAACCAGAGATTGGAACCTGCCCGGGCCCATTATCGACTTGGCGATAAAGAAGAAGTTCAAGGCAGGATCGTAGAGTTGCACTTGTGAGATCCGTCGCGGGACTCCAGAGAACCAGATACTGCAACCACACTATCCGTTACTCCGACGGATTGGTTTCCCGTGAAGGGGTTGGCCTCGGCATCACGGGCCCCCAAATGTCCGTACTTCATCGACTTCCAGACCAGTGCACTGAATTCTCGCTTATATTGCTACTACCACTCCCTCAAACAAGCCGATTGCCGTATTTACGGACTCCGCAAGTGTAGTTCTAGCCCTCAACTCAGACTCTATCAAGCACTCATGGATCCAAGCCATTCAGTGGTATGCCCCCAGAAACACTACATTTGTATGGCGGCTTCTGGAAGACAAGCCCAACTGTTTACCAAGGAGGTTCCAGCGGGGACCTGAAAAAATGGGTTGCCGACTAAATCTGGGACTTATGGTCACATACATGGTCCCAATCAACAAGCATTTTCCTTAGAAAGGTGAAGGTTGACACACGAAGATGGGAAGACCCCTCTGACCACCGAACTTAGGTTGTCCTGGCAAGACTCAGAACAGGCCATACCAGAGTCTCGCATAACTTTTCAGGTAGCGGGCCGTTCCGGAAATTTTGCGAGCTCTGCCGCACCAACTGTTCAGTGGAACACATAATCTGCCACTGTACTCAATACGAAGGCTCACGAGAGCTGTACGGCATACCGGGCAGCATTAGCGACGCATTGAGTAACGACCCGACTAGGTCTTCGACTTCGGTCAAATATGAACCTGCCAAAATCCCGACCCAATGCCAAGGGACTTTCTCTTATCGCCCAACATCTCAAACCAAAGCAAGATCTTCAGCAACTTAGCAATCACAACTCCGAAGAAAGACAGCACATTAAACTCAGTACTATCTAGAGGAGGCCTCTTATAGACCTCCTAACATGATAAAAAATGGACCCCACACTATCTTTTCAGAGACGAACCAACCAACGGCTGAAAGTCTCTATAATAAAGAAATTAATCAATCAATCAGAAATGTTCTTAGAAATGGATCAGAATCTTCCCAGAAATTCGGAGGAGTTCATAGATGTTCTGACGTGGATGTTAAAATGAGAAATCCGGGAGTCCTCAGGGCATTTTAATTTCCCTGAAAATACCTGGAGGTCTCAGGGAATTTAATAATTTTCTTACTAAGGATATTTTAAAGCAGAGAATGCATTTTAAATACAGACACCCCAGTGTTCACTTGGCTGTCAACAATCTCGATGTGTGTCACGCGATCGTCTGTTTACTCGGCAGCAACCATTGTGTGGGCCTTCTCATTGTTCTACATCAGCAGTTCTTTCGGTCGATGCGTCGTCGACTTTGGAAAGCAACCGTTTCGTGATGAGTGTGTGAGTAATGACCACGTTTGCTGCAACGGAAGCGCTCTGCCCCCCGTTGGCGATACTGCCATACAATGAAACCACTGAAAGGGAAACCTCTTCTGATGGAGGAGGCTTAATGGATAGCGGAAGATACAGTGTTTATTGTGTTGTATATTTTGACTATAGTTTTACCAACCGGTGGAAACTAACGATTTTAAATTGGGTGGTGCATCGATTAGCTTGAGACCGAAGATAGTACCAGAGCTGAGCCAAAAAGTTGAGCACTTTTCTTCGGGACCTACTAGTCTTCAACATCGTCACATTAAATTTCAAATTTTCATTCAATTCTGGCACCACTGCCAAACAGGTTTATTCTAATATTTTTGTTTTGTTGCTCTCTCGACTAACTGGCCAAACCGGCGCCGGTGGTGTAGCGGTAAGCGTTACTGCTTTCTCACCCCTATGGGTCTGGGTTCAATCCCAGCCGAGGTCGGTGGGATAAGAAGTAAGATCACAGTTTTCATTCCCGCGTACAATAACGGAGCGTTCACGTCTTCCGGTGGCGGAAGTGAAAATGGTGGAATGGAGAAGCTCGTGGAGAAGTACAACGCTAAACCAGAGGATAAACCTCGACTGAACCATCATCTGAAGGTTATTTTCGTTCAGCAAAAATCACTTTTGACGTAGGACTACGTCTGTAATTTCTATATGGGGGTACACTTTGTGAAAATGTAACAAAATTATGAAAGATTTTGAACGTTAATTACTCAGCTGCCCCTGGACCAATGTCAATAATTTTATCACAAATCGATGAGAAATATTTCTACGCATCTGTTTAAGCTAAGACTTCATCATTTTTCAAAATGTCACTATCGAAAATTTCACGAATGTACAACCGTTGCTATGATAATTAAAATTATCACCGCTTGCCTGCGAAAAGCGGTTTCCCTAACACAGATTTCAAAGTTGAATTCCTTCCGGTCTCACCAAACGCTTTTTATTCTATCACCGCGTGTTGAGTGGTGGTGTTCTCCTGTTCATTGCGAAAGGCTGCCTGCAAGCAGCGAGCTTCAGCCCACATCACCATCCATAGAAGGAGGAAGAAGCCGCCCAGCTATTGATCGGAATTAGGGTAAACGCTCCTATAGTTGCGGTACGTTAGAAGCGTTAGGTTCCTATAGTTGTGTATGGAGACTCCGTACACAACTATAGGAGCCTAACGCTACTAACGTACCGCAACTATAGGAGCGTTTCCCCTAGTAGCTCTTCGTCAGTCGCTGTGGGTCATCTATGTCAAGCGCGTCATATTAAAGAGTATAAACAGAGAGAAACCCGCTCAAATTCCTATTCCTACACAAAACACAAGCTCCTGCTGCAGTTGACAAATAAGATTTATTATATAATACCACGTAGTCCTACGTCACTATTGCGTACAACGTTACGATTACCTACGGGTAGTCAAAAGTGATGCGGATGATTACGTCACATACGCCGGAATCATAAACCGGCAGTGGTGTGCATTTGATTTGGCGAATCTCACAATCGACCAATTCAAAGCTCTGATTTTCATCTGCGGAATGCAGTCTTCGAAAGAAGCGGAGGTCAGAACGCGCCTTCTGTCGAAGTTGGAGTCGGAAGCCGGAAGGGAGATCAATCTTGAGGTGCTCATCACGGAATGTCAGCGCTTGGCGAACCTTAAACACGACACTGCGCTAGTGAAAGGCCAAGCAACTTCCAGCAGCACAAGCCTCGGCACAAGCAATAGCCTCAGCAAACAAGACAACCGAAAGCCGGCTCGTCTAATGCATTCGTTCGTAGTTCATCCTGCTGGCAGTGTGGGGCAATGCATTTTGTCAAAGATTGTTCCTATACAAACCACATCTGCGAACAATGTAATAGGCAGGGGCACAAAGAGGGCTACTGTAGTTGTTTCAACCGAACGGTCAACTACGACGGTGACAACATACAAGCAACTCAACAACAGAAGCAAAGTCAAGCAAACAGGATCCATTCGGTAAACCAAGATCGACGGCCATTCTGTGAAGCTTCAACTTGACTGTGGCTCGGACATTACCGTTATCTCGGAGCAAAACTGGAGGAAATGCGGATCACCCACTCTTTCGCGAATGGAACACAGGGCAAAAACAGCCTCTACTAGGAGAGTTTGCTTGTGAAATGCAGATTGGTAAAGAGCAGCAACACGGAACCTGTTACGTTACGTCAGTAAAGGGTCTGAACTTGCTCGGTCTAGACTTCATGAACGCTTTCGATGTTCGGACGAAGCCGTTGACTACCATCTGTAACCAGGTATATTGTTCCAATTCATTCGATTCAGTCAACTGATACCTCACCCGTTTTCCCGAAGTTTTCAGGCCGAAACGACCGGTACCATTCCATGCAGTGCCGAAAGTTGAATAAGAATTAAACAGATTGCAACGGCTAAACATCATCCAGCCGGTGGATTTTTCTGACTGGGCAGCCCCAATTGTCTCGGTTAGGAAGCCGGGAGGAAAAATTCGAGTCTGCGCCGACTACTCTACAGGGTTGAACGCGGTACTCGAACCACATCACTTTCCGCTACCAACACCCGAAGACATTTTCTCCAAGCTGTCGGGAAGCAAAGTGTTCAGCATTATTGATTTATCAGATGCCTATCTCCAAGTCGAGGATGCTAGCCACCAACACCCACCGTGGGCTATTTCAATTCAACCGCCTGCCCTCTGGTGTGAAATCGGCACCTGGAGCCTTCCAGCAGTTGATGAGCAAGATGATTGCAGGATTGGAAGGTGTGGATTGTTTTCTGGATGATGTCTTTGTCCACAGCAAGAACAGAGAAGAACATGATCGTATATTGGAGACGCTATTTACTCGCATCCAAGAGTATGGATTCCGTCTACGACTGGAAAAGTGCAACTTCTACAAAGAAGAAATCCGGTACCTAGGTTTCATCATCAATGCCAACGGTATAAAACCGGATCCTGAAAAGGTAGCTTCAATAGCCAAAATGCCGGAACCGAAAGACTTCAGCGAACTCCGATTTTTTCTCGGAGCGGCAAATTTATACGGAAAGTTCGTCCGAGAAATCCACCGAATCCAGCACCCGCTGGATGATCTTCTCAAAAAGGACAGGAAGTTTGTATGGAGTGACCAGTGTCAGAAAGCTTTCGACAGCATCAAAAATGTGTTGCAATTAGACTTGTTGCTTACGCATTATAACCCAAACATCGAGTTAATCGTAGCGGATGATGCTTCGAAGATCGGTATAGGTGCCATCATTATGCATCGTTTTCCGGATGGGCAAATCAAAGCGATAGCACACGCCTCGAAAACATTGAACAGCACCGAACAGAATTTTGTCGAATGCTGCTGGGACGATAATTCACGCTACAGACAGGTCATCAACCTTTACTCAAAGTTTTCGGATCGAAAAAAGGTATTCCACTACACAATGCAAATCGTCTTCAACGGTGGGCATTATAACTGCTTGGATTTGACTTCAACGTGGAATACATCGCAACGGAAAACTTTGAATAGACGGATGTAATCTCTCGGCTAACATGCAACCATCAAAAACCCGAGGAAGAGTACGTTGTTGCCACCGTTAGTCTGGAAGAAGAAGTAAACGCAAGCCTGGAAGAATGTCATCGCTGCCAGGGTACTTCACGATGGTTAGGACAGCAACAAAGAAGGACGACCTACTGCAACAAGTCATACATTGACGGAAGTTGGCCGAACAGCAGCATAATCGCAGATCGAAACCTGAAAACCTTCCATACTCGACGCGAGTCTTTGTCAGTAGTCAATGGATGCATCATGATGAACGACCGTTTAGTGATACCAGAATGTTACAAGCAACGCAAAGCAGCTTCATCGTGGTCACTAAGGCATGGCAAGGATGAAAGCCATCGCTCGCAGTGTAGTGTACTGGGCGAACGTCGATAATGATATTGAGGATCTAGTTCGTCGGTGTTGCATTTGTGCCAGTACAGCAAAATCTCCGGTAGATTACCAACCGCAACCGTGGCCAAGAGCAGACGGTCCATGGAAGAGAATCCATCTAGACTACTTGGTCATAGTGGACTCATATTCGAAATGGCTAGCAATTTTCCAAACACGCTTGACGACAGCAGCTGTCACGATCAGATTTCTTCAGGAAACTTTTGCCAGATTCGGTATTCCGGAGACCATTGTCACAGACAACGGAACGCAGTTCTGTAGTGCTGAATTCAAGAAGATGTGTCAGCAGCTCGGAATCATCCACATTCGTACAGCGGTATATTACCCTCAGTCGAATGGCCAGGCAGAACGCTTTGTCGACACCCTAAAACGCTCATTGCACAAAATTGTTGAGGGGGAAGAAGTTCCATCAGTCGAAGCGCTTAAAACTTTTCTACAAGTGTACCGTTTTACGCCCAGTACAGCTCTTGCTGGTAAGTCACCTTCAGAGGAAATGCTGGGTAGACCGATGCGTACAACATTGGATCTCGTACGGCCATCAGCGTTCAACAGTAAGTCCACTGAACAGAGTACATCGGGTTTCACAGTCTACGCGAAGCTGTATCAGAATACGAACAAATGGAAATGGGCTTCCGGAACTGTCCTTGAAGCGACTGGAGGAGTCAATTTCAACGTTCTGCTTTATTACCATTCAGGTCGGAGGAAGCTTATTCGGTCACATGTGAACCAGCTTCGACCTAGATGCGATTATATACTAAAGCCGGCATCAACACTAACTCAATTGGACATCCTGGTGGATGACTTCGAACTCATGCGGCGTTCTTCAGCACAGCAGACCGCTACACAACAGAATACGATTGAACAGGAACAGGTTAAAATTAGTCAGCACAGTTCAGATGACGACGAATTTTTCGAGACTGGTTCAACGAACTCCAATCCACCAACAGTTAAGTCATCAACATCGAAGTCTCCCAGATCAGTTAGAGAGCGTTGGCTTCCGAAACACTTGGAAGACTACATCATCGGCTTGAATTAAAAGGGGAGGTGCTACCACCCCTGAGTGACAACCCTGGTGGGCATCGTTATACCTCTATGGTTATACACCGTTAGCTGTCACTGCGCTTGGTGTGGTGAGAAAAAAAATGTCCTTTAAAGTAACAAGAACTGTATGAAGATAAAATAAAAGAGTTCTGATTATTAACATAAAAAGTAGTGTTTAAAGTTATTGAAAACACAACAACTTCCGACTCAGAAAGCAAGTCTGTCGTGCAGTAGCTGCAATTCAAGCATTAGTTGCAGTTCCGGATATGATGATGGCGACAGTAACTTAATCTCAGATGGCATCCAGAAAGTGTTCCCAACGATCGAAAAGTGCTCAGGTTTTGAACACTTATAACTCTGTCAAAAGTGGATTGTTTTTAGTTCTAAACAAGCAAATCGATTGGAATTTTTTTTGTAAATTTGGTAAAGGTCACTAATGAAAATTGCACGAATGTGCAACTGTTACTATGATAATTGAAAATATCACCGATTGCCTGCGAAAAGCGCTTCCCTAACACAGATTTCAAAATCGAATTCCATCCGGTCTCGTCGAACTATGTTTATTCAATCACCGCGTGTGGAGTCCAGTCGTCATCAGCAGCAGCAGCAGTGCTTTCGGCGCGTGGCGTTGTATATTTTTCTCCAGTACACAACGAAAGGCTACCCGCACGCAACTAGCTATCAAGGCTGCCCCCGATTCACCGAAGAAGGAGGAAGAAGCCGCACTGCTATTGATCGGATTCAGTTGCTTGTCGTGAGCCGCTGAGGGCCATCCATGCCAAGCGCGTCACCCTCTCCAAACAACATACAGCTCGCTAGCCTCATCCGTGTTGAACACCCTACTAGCTCAGCATTACTCAACCATCACGACAAAACGGTTTATTTCAGTAACAGTAACAGTATTGAAGTGGTAGATACAAATTTACGCAATGACCCAATACCACATGACCTTGTCAATTAACGAGAAACACTTCGAATTAAGATAGGGGATTTCCCAGCACGCTATAAAAAGCAAAAAAGTCTCGAATTTATATGATTGATCGCGAATATCTCGCGATTGGAAAGATTTAGCAAGAAATACCTCCCATCAATTTTCGCTTTTTTAAATATCTATTGATTAAAACAAAAATTCCGTGCGTTTTTTGCACGAAAATGCTTAATTTTGTCATCAGAAAACGTGATAGGAAAAAGTGGTTTCACTAACACATTCGCCGAATATTGATACCGAGCATGTAATCCTACGTCCAATCTACGGTCGTGTCTTGGATACAACCTCTTACTTTTTTCAATTTAAGTGAGTTGATCAAGTCAGTTGAATGGCATGGTTTACACGTTCCATTTGCGTTCAAGTCAGTTGAATTCTTCAATTGACTTGCCCTGTCAAACCCAAGTAACATTGCAGGTTATATCGCGGGTTTAAAGCATTCTACAAGTCTAAATCATGGGCTACAGAACCCTCATAAAACCAAAATTGTTACTTGTTAAAACCCAGCTTTACCGTTTGGTACAAAATGAATGAGATTTTTAAGAAGGTTTTTCTGAGGATCATGTCTGTCAATGACTAATGTGAAAAACAATTTTGTCAATATCGCGCGACAGTCTGTCATTGACAATGACAAATCTCAGCACTGTTTACCACAACTTACAAAGCATTTGATAAACGAAGGCCATCAAATGGCACTAATACAAAATCCGGCGTTACATAACGTTCCCGCATTGCAATGAAAAGGGCCAAAATCACAGAATTTCCTCGCCGGAAGCTTCATTTGCTTTCCGAAAATATCCGACCCCCTAGGACTAATTCGCAACTTACCTCATCCTGCTTCGACTTCACCAGATCCGCACTCCAGGCCTTGTTGAATTGGGTCTGCTGACCGATAATTTGGTTTATGTTTTCGCTCTTCTTCGCCGGAGTTGGCGTCGTGACCGTCGGCTGAATGGAAGACACTGTAAAATGCAAAATCATTAGCTTCGCCTGCTAAATCTCCATTACTGTCCAAAACATACAGGAATCCATGCCCTCCGGTTGCAGGCTGATCCGAACGGCGGGCTTGTCCCGCCCGGCGGACCACTCTGCTGCGCTGAGCGTCGGTTCCCACAGAGCCTTGGTTGGTGGAAATAGATCGTCCTGGAACAGTTCGCTCTTGATGCGCGGCACGGTGAAGCTCAACGGCTCGACCGTCCCGTTGGTAAGTCTTTGTGCTTTGGCAAATTCTACCGATGCGACGTCGCATTGGTTCTTCGGGAGGAAACTCAATCCTTGCGTCAGGGATGAGCACCGGTGGTGCGACAAGGGACAGATGAACGGGGACTCTTCGGTGATTTCGAAACAGTAGATGGTGGAGTCGCCCTTGCCGGTTGCGAAAATGGTCGAACTGTCCTCGTCGTAGAACGGTATCAGGATGGCAGGGGACACGTCCAAACCCACCATTCCAAGAGGGGCACCCAGATCGGTCGCTTTGTAAACGTAGATTTGCCGCTCGGATACTCTGTTGGGTCGAATGGGAGTTATAAGTCATGCAAAAAAAAACATAACACGACTAAGACATACTTATCAAATCCAGTTACAACGATGTATTCCCCTTCGATGGCCCACACCAGACGAGCTCCGCGGGTTCCCACCGGTCCAGTACCCTCACGAATGGGAGTTTCCGACTTCCTTGGGTTATACACTCGGAGCTTACCATCTTTGGAAACCGTTGCCACGTACACTCCGCAAGGGCTCCAGGCAGCGCTGAAGATCTGATCCGTGTGGCCCTTCAGACAGTACTTCTCGGTCAGCGTATCCAAGTCCCAGATCTTTAGAGTCATGTCGTAGCTCGCGGTGAGGAAGACATTCTTCGCCAGTGGGTGGTACTTGACAATGTAGATCTTATCCGAATGGGCAACCAACTCCTTCTCCGGTTCGTTGGTTGGTTCCGTTAGGCCTCCTTCTGGAATGGCCCAGATTTTGACACTGCCATCGTCGCACGCCACGGCCAGACGCTGGTTATCGAACGGATCCCACTGGAAGTCCATGATGTTGTTTCCGTTGACCAACGAGGGAATCACTCCGTCCGGAAGACGACCCGGTTTGCTCAGTTCAAATATTGCAATCTTGCCCCCGGCTCCGGAGATCGGTACGGCCACTCGCTCCGGATTCGCCTGGAAACCGTCGCATTCACCCGGGATCTGCCGGCTAAGGTTCCGGATGTTCTCGATGTGCGTAGACTTGTGTCCGGGAGTTCCCTTGAGGTGGCGGAACTTCGACACCCTTCCGAAGACCGTAGATGTTCGCTTAGACGTAGTGTTGGCGGAGTTGGCGTTGTTGCGCTTGCTGATGTCCGATGGGAGATTCTCCTTGCACAGGTCGCTACGGTTCCGGGTGAACTCTACCCCGGACGGCGGAGGCATGGCTTCGTCGTCTGTTTTTGACTGTTCGCCGCGGACCTTCAGCGATTCACGGCGTCTGTGTTTTGGAAATTGCTCGTAGGTGAGTGGATGATCAAATGGTAGAGAGTAGAGCAGAATTTACCTGAGAGGAACTGGCGAAGCTGGCTTCTCTTCTTGGACGCTCTGCGATCGATTCTCGTACATCCGGCGTCGTTCGGCTATGCTCGTTCGCTGGCCGCTCAACCGTTCGAACTGGCTCGGTTTGTCCTCCGCTGCGGCGTCGAATTGGTCCTCGGCTTCCGTGGAGACTTTGGATTCGAATATCTACAAAAGGAAAATGGCAATTCGGTGAGATTGGTAAGGCCATCGAGATCGTTCAAAATTTCACATATTAACCTTTTCGCGATCTCCGGACTACAGTTAGAGGTTAGTTTGCATTTGGGAGAAACAGTTATCGATTAGTTCTGTTAGTTACTATTGTCACTTCGAGGGTATCGAAATTACCTTTCTTCGTTCTGCGGTCGAAATGATCCGCGGTTTGTCGTCCTCTTCGGGATCCTTAGGTCGCATGACAATCTCTTCGGTGGTCATCTCCGCGAATGCTTCCGAATCCTTGCAGTTTCCGTTTTCGTGTGTCTCCTCCACGCTTCCGTTCGACACCAGACTGTTCTCCTGGGTGTTGTCGTTCGAATCCCTCAGGGAATCCCCGTTCTCCGAACCGGGAGCCTGAGGAACGTTGAACACCTTATCGAAGGAGAAGTCACCCGATGAACCCGTACTGCTGAATGGCTTCGGTCCGAGGCGGGGCTGTAAATGCAAAATCAACATCCGTGTTACATAATCGGTCAAGAGTTTTCACATGAACTGCAACCTCTACGAAAAGCAGAAAGGTCAACATATTGGAAGATATGTTAACTGGAAAACTGAAAAGAAATCTAGGCGATCGTGCGCATCTAACGGAAGAAGTGTGATCGTGCAGGTCTAACAACAAAACAACAACCAGAACTCAGTGGAAACAAACTCAAACACACTCGGGACAACTCCAATCGAGTCAAACCTTGTATCCTGTGGTGGACATGCGCGGTCTGGCCACGGGACGAGGTGCCGGAACGACGGGGACCTCCTCGGCCGATCCCATCGGTTGATCGGTAACTGAATTGTTCCTGGATGTCCTCGGCAGTGGCTTCGGGGGTGTAACCTCCCCTGTCTGAATCGTCTCGTCGACGTTGCCGTCCTGGTCCTCCGAACCCAGCTGATCCGGATGGTTACCGTTGCTTTCGTTCTCGGTGTAGCAAGGCTTCGGTTCGATAACTATGTTCGCATTTTCCGTGTTCTTGTTCGAGGTGACCTCCTTGAACTTCTGCTCGAACTCGCTCTTTTCACTATGCGATTGCTGTTCCATTTGTTTGATTTTGTCCTTGATCGGGACGAAAGCCGGCTTCACGATCGTCGTTTCCTGGTCGATCTTGGTTGCCGTGCTAGTTGTGGTGGACGCCGTTTTCGATTTGTTGGCAATGTTCTTGACTACTTCGTTCAGGTTACCTCTCAAGATCTGACATTTGCCGCGGAGGATACCAATTTGGAATTTTAAGATTTTTGGTTTTAGTGGACAGAAGAACCGAACGGGGAGGTCAGCAATTAGAATAGGAAAGAATGGTAGAGAAACATAGATGAGATGCATATTTTTTGAGTTGTCTGTACAAACATTCGGTTAGTGACACAAAAGGGAGCAGGGCTTTAAAAGCGTTTTAGACGTTCCACCGAGCGGATACTTACGATAATTGGTTGTTCACCCAGCTCGCGCTTCGCCGGATCGAGGCTAATCTTCTGAACGGTCATGTTGACTCCATTGAGCCACTGCGTGGCCGTCAGTTCGGTTTTGAACCCATTGGTATCCGGGTACAGGTCACTGTGGAAGTCTCGATAGGTCTACAAATATTCAAAATCATCGTTCACCGCCTTAAACCCAGTCAGTGTTTAACTCACCTTCCTCGGCACTTGGTACATGATCGGTATTACCGAGTTAGACGTCAGCTGCATGATACGGTTCACCTCACCCTCCATCACGCGGAGCGCCCGCTTCGGTACCAAACAGGCTCCCTTGGTCTGCTCTCCCGAGTGTCGGATTCCCTCGATCAGGTGCGGATCCTTGTCCGTCACCTCCAAGTAAGTTATAGTAGTATCACCTTTACCTGCCAGGAACAGCATGTTCGTATCCGGATCGAACAGCGGCATCAATATCCCGGTTGAGCAATCCAGTTCCAGCGTCTTCTCCGGTACGGAGAAGTTCCTCAAATCTCTTATGATAACCTGTCGCAGTCGGGCGGCATCGAAACCCGTGGTCAGGATACGATTCTGATCGCCCAACCATACCACCCGGGAGTCTTTGATGCTTTGGTGACTTTCGGCGATCATCGAAATGGGTGTCTCCGCTCGGGGATCCAGAATACGAACCATTTTGTCCTTACAACTGGTCGCGCAGACTTTGCCGTCCTGTTTCCAACTGAGCGACTGAATCACCTCCGGGTGTTGATTGTTCGCTATTCGACAAAAAATAAGAACATTAATCCCAACTACCTATCCCACCATCCTTGCATAGAAAAATACTCACAAAAAGACTCTTGCTGACAGGTCAAATCCCAAAGACTAACGCAGCCCATGGCCGTCGAATACAGCAAACAGTCTGCCGTTGGATGGAATCCTACCGTCTCCACCCTCCGCTGCTTGGTGGAGAACGTGCACTCCGGATTGGAGATCGAGTTTTCCAGCCCCTTCTCCGGTATGTGCCACACCTTCACCAGACAGTCTTGCGATCCCGTGGCCAGCAGTCCATCGTGAAATGGCGAAAAGTCCAGATACGTCACCGTATCCGAGTGTGCGTGCAGCAGAGGCATGGTTTTACTCTTCCGACCGCAGTCATCGATCGGAAGCACGGCCACGCTGGAGCCCGCATGTTCCCAGTTGAAGGCGATGAATGCCGCCGATGCTGCGATGTTGTTACCGTAGGTCTGGTAGGACCCCACGCAAATGTCCCGGATGCATACCTCCGGCTTGGGTACGATCGGAGCTGCGTTCTTGTATTTCGAGGCCTTAAATCGCCATGCCATGCTTCGAGGGTGTGCGGGTGGTCGGCCTTAGCTTGGGGATTGTCGGTGTTCGGCTGTTCAACGGGACTACCTACGTTGGGAAATATGAATTGGTATAGGTTAGTGTAGTTGGGGTTTTATCAGTTGAAATTCGAACGTTTGATTTGTTGTGATTCTGTTCTAGAAGTTTTGAGTTTCAGAGACCTTTCTTTGGCTTTTTATTACGTTCCCACTGAAACTTTACGCTGACTCTTCAACACTTCTTTGAGCACTTCTGCAGCTGTTAGCTGAGAGTTTTCTAAGCCTGCGACATTTTGGCATTAGTAGGGGAAAGTGGGGCAGTTTGGCCACCTTAAGAAAATCATCACTAATCATACAAAATTCAGTGGGAAATTCGAATGATGTTTAACCAAATGGATAGTTTCAAGCCCTATTTACATCATGAATACAAATTGAATATTGAAAGTAAACTTTTGAACCTTATGAAAGAAGATTTAAAAAATATTCGTTTTGTAACCGAAATTAAACCGTTGGGGTAAAATTAGCATACTGTCGGGGTGGTATGAGCGACTTTAAAAAACAACGGAAAAGAATATTCTGCTCTCTTGAGGCTTTATGAAGGGTCAACAAGGAACAGATTTAAAATAAGCAAGTATTTTCTGTAGAATAAATTAAATTTAAGAAGTACTGCCTATTTAGGGCTATATTTTTTTCAGACTTGTGAATGACTGATTTTTTACCAAAGCAGCTGCTTCAAAACGTGACTTCATATGACACAGTCATATTTATAATAGAAATAATGCAAAATTGAAGAATTTAAGTGGAAAATCTTTCAAATATCAGTGGTTGAGCACCAAAATGGACTTATATAATATTTTATTAAAAAAAAACTTTAATGTTTATTGAAAACTATAAAAAACATCATGTCATATAAGAAACCAATGATCATTTATAAAGCTGTTGAAGGAATATCAACAATATGTTATAAGAAACTACTGACATTATTTTCTGATTCAGAAATCTTGTAACAGTTTTGACATTTTGACCTAGTCTAACATTTTTCGAATATTTGCTCTAGAGAAAAGTATTTTGTTAGACTTAAATGTTAAAGCCGTAATGCAAAATATGGTCAATAAGTTGATTTTTAAGCGGGTGGCCACGTAGCCCCATTGGCCATATTGCCCCACTTTCCCCTATATACGCCTAGGGTAGCTGAGAGTTTGTTCAACCCGAAAAATTACTAGATAGAACCTGAAAGAAAACCCAGGTTCCTTCAGCATAATCTTGCTGTATAGGTGCGCTTTTATCGACTGTGTAATGGGAGAATCTATGTTTATAGATAGATATTCTGTTCGGTAATTTCACTGTAATTTCTCACCAAAACACTTCACTGGGTGTATTCAAACCATTCCTTATTCTATAAGCCTCAATCTGATGAGCTTTTTACGACTGAGCTAACAGATGTTGCCAGGATTTTCTTGAAACGAAATATACGCACTATACAATGCTGCTGATTTAGATTTACCGATAATAGAACAGCTGATAAACGCGCAATACAAATGGAAAGGTTGCCGAAGAAAAAGAGGCAGCTGACAATAGTCACACTCACCTCAGAAGTTTCGAGCGTTGTAAAAGCGTTTTATAGTACGTCCAGACTACAGAGTTATAACATGTTATAGCGCTATCTTGATGGTGGTTCCTGTGTTGCAATTATTTGACAACCGTTATAACATGTTATAACTCTCCAGTCTGGACAGCGTTTTAAACCAGTTTTGGACAATTAGGAGATTGCCGTAAAAGCTCAACGCAGATGTCGCCACTGCATGATGATGATAATGTTAACAGACTGCAGATAAAATTCTTGAAAATTAGCATTAAATCATAGAGTTGGTTGGAAATGCTAACATGAAGCTTTAGTGTGATGATTTATTAGCTAGAGAATAATCTTTAGAAGAGGGTAGGTGGATAGTTCCGTTAGAGTACGGCAGTATGAAAATTGAATAGAAGTTGAAAATGAGCGAAGGGCCATTAAAGCGACAGTTTTCAAGATAGACGCACATTTTTGCCTAGCCCGTACGATGTACGCGGGGACTTGAAGTATGTCTCCAAGTCCACAGGCAAAAATGTGCGTCCCTCTTGTTGCTCATAAACTGACTGCGGCTGTGGAATAGTTCTAGCGACGTTTTCATCACTACCTAAAGCCCCACGTCGCGAGAGCATTTCCAGTCGATGGTGTGTTATAATGCAGTTCTTCTTTACCCAACTATTGTGTTGCTCCTCTCGTCATGACCAACGTGATCATCTCAGAGAGAAAGCAGTAGGGTGGTTGTTGCGTGCTGTACCATCATCAGCATTGTTGACGGCTACTCCCGCCTTGAGTTGTTACTTGGAGACATACTTCAAGTCCCCGCGTACATCGTACGGGCTAGGCAAAAATGTGCGTCTATCTTGAAAACTGTCGCTTTAATGGCCCTTCGCTCATTTTCAACTTCTATTCAATTTTCATACTGCCGTACTCTAACGGAACTATCCACCTACCCTCTTCTAAAGATCATTCTCTAGCTAATAAATCATCACACTAAAGCTTCATGTTAGCATTTCCAACCAACTCTGAAAATCGTTAACTTCGCGTATGAAGTAACATAAAAAACACTTTGAATTAAATCATAATTTTCATCAAGCCTGCGTAAAATCGAAGATATCTAATCAAGAAGACTGGCAACTCTGCCAGAATCCAAGCGGCAGATACAGTAGAGCTGCGCTCGAGTGAAGGCAATTCGTTCGAAGCATTTACCTTTGAGCGGCAGATGATGCGATTGTGCCGGTCTCATAGCGGTCGTATGAGAAAATGGTAGAGTTGCCAGTCTTTTGATATGTTGTCTTCGGTAAAATCCTTCCAATATAACATTCGAATTGAAGAAGAAAACGTTTTTACGATCAGACTGATGTGCATCTTTTACTTTTCCAGGTGAACTTTCATAAGATATATTCATTTCATTTCACGGCTCCATCAATGCTCACAGGCGTAGCCAGAGGGGGCAGCAACACAAAGGCTTTCGGTGAAATTGAATTTGGCCAAATTTTCCATAGTAATTTTTTTTTCGCTTCCTCCAAGTTCGAAACCTGGATACGCCCTTGGCTGTATCGTAAATATGATGTAAACAGAAGTAAATTGCTCAATTACTCAAAATAAACATTGATTTGTCATCTTGTCATCACTTTGAAAACCATCTAGCACCATTTTATCAAAGAAGAATACTAAGATGAAACTGTCGGAGGAAAAACTTTCTATTTTAGTGTCCTCTTTCACGGTCCCTTTCATCTAATGAATACCCCCCGTATGCAAGGTAATTTTGTGGTTTTGTTGCCCCCTCGGTAGAGATAAAATTTTGCGCTCTTTTTTATCAAAATAATCACACCAAAATCAGAGATGTCCCGTTTTTTAATTACTCGATTAACAACTAATCGATTATTTTTTGTTCGCTGTGCTGCCATTTTTTCACGAATGAGAGTGCAGCACATGTTTGAAACGATCGGTGATGATCCTGTGGAATTGTTAATGCTTATATCGGCATGATCTAACCGATTATAAATAGTTTACTTTTCGGTTCGTTAATCGATTAAACGATTATTCGAATGAAAATCGGACATCACTAGATGAATGTGAAACGTCATTTCAAATATAAGGCCGTTCATAAATAATGATACAATTTGAAAGGGACCGGGGCTAATCACAAATTACGTCTCCATGGTAACTGAAATAAACACGAGTGTTCACCGGTTGATGAAACTGTCGGAAGAAAAACTTTCTATTTTAGTGTCCTCTTTCACGGTCCCTTTCATCCAATGAATACCCCCCGTATTCAAGGTAATTTTGTGGTTTTGCTGCCCCCTCGGTAGAGATGAAATTTTGCGCTCATTTTTATCAAAACAAACACACCAAAATCAGAAATGTCCCATTTTTTAATTACCCGATTAACAACTAATCGATTATTTTTTGTTCGCTGTGGTGTCATTTTTCCACCAACTAGAGTGCAGCACATGCTTGAAACGATCGGTGATGATCCTCTGGAGAAGTTAATGCTTATATCGGCATCATATAACCGATTACAAATATTTTACTTTTCGGTTCGTTAATCGATTAATCGATTATTCGAATGAAAATTGGCCACCACTAGATGAATGTGAAATGTCATTTCAAATATAATGGCCGTACGCAAATAATGATACAATTTGAAAGGGACCGGGGCTAATCACAAATTACGTCCCCACGGTAACTGCAATAGTCACGAGTGCTGACCGGTTGACTCAGCCTAATCAGTCAATTTTACGTTCTGTTCGTGTTCAGTGACTTGTTTACCTCTCAATGATTCAGACTCTCACGAGGCAGTGAATGATGAGGCAGATGGCAGTTCATATTCATATGAAAATGACTCATTGTACCTGACTGTTTTACACACTGTTTACCATAGATTCTATTGTGGAAACAATAAATTCTATGGTTATTTTATCGGTGCGGACAATATAATTTATTTTAAGTACAATAAATTCTATTGTATGGTACCTCTGTCGTTCTTTTTTTACGGGTTTGAGGCTGAAGCCGTATAAAGTAAAAACAGTTCCAAATCGCAACAAAAAACAGAATTTGACAGCAAAATCACGGGCTTGACGTTTGAACAGCGATTATTTGACGAAGTTTTCATTATGAACGATGAAGCTTCTGTCCTGGAGGATTTCAAGCAGCTTCCAGGACTGACTTTCTATTCTGCTATGGCCAAAAATGCTACAACTGAGTATTTCAGGACAAAGAAGGCATCGAAATTTCCCAAAAAATACCTTATATGGCAAGCTATATGCACGTGTGGCCGAAAGAGTAAATCCTGCGTCACTACAAGCACAATCAACAAGCAGATTTACCAGAAAGATAGGCTGCAGAAGCGATTGCTACTCTTCATCAAAAGCCACTAAGAAAAACCCTCTGATCTGGCCCGATTTGGCATAATCCCATTATGCTGCGAAGCAAATCAAGTGAATATTGTACCAAAAAAAATAAACCGCAAATCCGCCAAATTATCCAGAGTTACGTCCAATCGAGATATATTGGGCTCTGATGAAGCGGAAGCTTTCTGGAAAGAAGCAGGGAATCAAAGATATCAAACACTTCCAACAAATTTGGACAAAGACGGCCATCATGGTATCTGAGAAATCTGTACAAACCCTAATGGATGGAGTTAAGCGCAAAGTTCGAAAATTTTATGCAAATACCGAATAAATTTGTTTTGACTTCGTGAATTTTTAAATCATATCCCATAAATCTGAAATGAGCAACAACAATTGAAATATAATGCGAAATTTGTGTTTTGATGTGTCCGGATTATTGTAGAGACAGACCTTACATCGCATTGGGATCAAACGCTAAGATGCTGCACGCCTACTTGGACTCCAGCCACACCACACACTATGGAATATTTTCGGTGTCCAATGAGAGGTGAAAAAGTGTTCTCACCGAATTTGAGAGAGTGATATTTTCATGGTTTGGATGGGAGAGGAAAATTAATAATCGTTGAAGAATGAGAGATACAAATATTGAAGAATCAAAGTGACGATTGACTCACAGATGGCGAGTGGGTGAAAATGGTAATGACGTTTTGATATCTGTCAAATTGCATGACCTTTTTTGAGTACATCATCATTTTTTGTAATTGCTGATCTGAAAACTAGGTTCAAGCGACCAGTTTTGGCTTAGCTTTGACTCGCCAATTCGCGAATCAAAGCAAAGCCAAAAGTGGTCATGCGACACCTAGTTTTAAGACACATATCAAAACGTCAATACCATTTTCACCCACTCGCCATCAATCGTCACTTTGATTCTTCAATTGTCACGTGAGTCAACCGTCACTTTGATTCTTCAATAGTCTATTCTCAGCTCTGCGAAAAGCAGCTTGAGTGATGCTTCGCTTATCTTGCAGATGAGCGCGAATTTTGATCGCTGGTCGAATTCAAATACGCTTTCAGCCTCGCGAATACGCAAAATAACAAAAAAAAACGTGCTTAAGTTGTACAACATTTAGCATATTACCCTTTTAGGTAGAATAAGGTACGCTACGAGAGAGAAGGGGAGCTTAAATTAGTCAAAAATAATTCTACGTCATTTATGGATTGTTCCTAAACTATTTGAGAGTTTGTGCACAGGTAAGGGCAACGCCACTTTAATTAATTAACATTAATTAAGTACATCGCGCTCTAAGGAGGAGGATGGGGGTGGGGTTTACAAATGTCTGGCAAGCAATTTATTAGGTATAGGAAAAACGTGACGAATGAGGGAAGGAGGGATTGATTTTACTTCAATTTCGCGTGACGTACTTAATGCATGCTCCCTTATTTGGAAACTTATGTTAAATTTAATTAATTGAAGCGTTTGTTTCGAAAACGTCTGATTAACAAAACATGAATTCGTTTTATTTCTTTACGGCTTGTAATTTTTTTTTTAAATATTTGTAACGGCCTTATTAAATCTGGCATCTAAGCTGTTAAAATTAAAGAGACAATTTAATAAAATTATTTCAAAAGCCTAGACGATGATTCATTTCTGGTCCTGTTGTATATCTTTTAAACACAACCGTCAAAGAATCTTACATTCCCCGGTTGGGTGTGCTGTATTTAGGCAAATGTTTAACGAAAAAATCATGTCCAAACCTGTCGGAGTTCCCGATCGATTTCCTTCAATCAGCTAATCCTTCAGGGCTTCAGAATCACAGCAAATCCAACTTCAGCTTGCCAATAACTAATCCCTACCAATCAGGCACAAAAGCTTATTTATGTCACCAAACCCAAGAAACTTTGCTTACACTATTTCAGTACAATTTTCCACCGGATCACGTTTTCCACTTGGCGGACTCAAGCGCGTGCTCGACTCCGTCGTCTTCGTTTTCGTCTCGTCTGCGCCACCACCCTTCTTCAGATGGGTCGATCGGTCGGTCGGTCGGCCGAGCAAAACACACAAACACGCTTGATTAATTCACTTGATTGCCCTCTTTGGCTAAGCTTCGCGCGCGCACTTGTCTTCTTTGCTCTCTCTCTATATCACACAAGAGGAGGAGCTGCGATTACTATACTTTTGGGCCTGGCAGCAGGAGGAGAGTCTGTCTATCAGCTGTCTGCACCACCGGAACCGTTTTTCTGGAGATTGAGCACAACCGGGATTATATGCACTGTCGTTATGGCTGCTTAAACTCGAGTGTGATTCCTCCCCCAACGGAAATACAAAAGAAAGAAAAAAAATATGGCACCACTTATCACTTCCCTTTAAACAATAGGAATTTGAGGTGCGCACCACATGTGTGATTCTTCTTCCGGTTTGTAATAACCGTTTCAACGGGATCCCTGATGTTCGAATGAAACCTGATCGAGTTCGAGACACGGGATGTTCGTGCGTTCCCTTCTTCTAGCTATTACAAACTATTATTTGTTGTTGTTGTTTTTGTTCTTATTGTTGCCATTTGGATGAAGAAGACGAAGAAGAAGAAGATGATGATGATGAAATTTACGAAAAGTGTGCCGCCGCTGGAAAGCGAAAACGAAGTTGCGGAAAAATTGATAGGTATGTGAAGGAATGAAATTGATTTGCGGATCTAATTGGTTTGCTTCCCCGACTCCGCCGCCGCGCCTCCTCGTCGTCGTGGCGCTTCTTTGAGCAACACCAACTGTATATCTGCTGCTGCTGCTGCTACTGCACGCCTTTGAACGATCTAATTGCGTTCTTTTATTGGGCGCTCGTTTGTGGCCCCGCACCGCCGCGGTCCCCGGAGGAAGTTTGCCTACAATTGGTACTTAATCATACACCGTACATCTTCACTATCTCAATAGGTGCCGTTTTACACAAGCAGCTATCGATAGCGAGAAGTGAGTTTCGATCAAATTTCACGGAAATCTGCTCTCTTGAGGCGGCTGTTACATGCAGCACAGGAACATGCAATAAGGCTCGGGGTGGTTCACCCAAGTCAGGTGCAAACCCATCGCCCATGCCCATATTTGGATATCGACTGTGCGTGTGTTGCCAAAATTGGCAGGTACGGTGAGCTACTGTGAGCCCGGTTGGCCTGTTCGTTCAACATGATGACTCTTGATGACATCATTCTACAGTGAGACTCTTTGTTAATGACTCATTAGCTTGTTTGGAGGCGCTGATATGAACAACTGTTCAAGGAAGTATTGTAGATTATCAGACACGCATAGCAATAGCCACCTTTGTAAGCATTGCCCCTCGAGACATTGAACAAAGCGGATTTAGTCCCGTAATAAGCGATGCTATGGAGCATTTCCAGCTCAATACAGCTGAATACAGCTTGAACCTGTATAAATGAAATGAGTAAAGCGTTTACAAGGTGAAAATTGTTATTTGGGCGGGGACCAACGCCCAAGCAGCCAAAAGTTCCGCATTCAACGATAAAACTCACTTTGCACTTCCAAGAAGTGCATATAACAGGGTGTCTACTACCTGGAAAACCTGGAAAACCGGGAATTTTATTTTTTCTGGAAAAACCTGGAATATTCAGGGAATTTTGGTTCCACTCAGGGAATCTTCCAATTATCACTTCATTCGTAATTCAAAAGAAGTTTTTCGTTCAGTTTCTCGAAACGTTTTTTAAGGACACTGGACTTGACAAGCATCTGACAGCTAAGACAACGTGTGCGAACGAGACAAGTTCATTCAGAGAGTCTTGTCACGCTCGCTCTTCGCTGATTTGTATGTGGAGGATCAAAATCGTCGTAAAAAGGAAACAGCCGAAAAAGAGAGACTGGCAACCCTCAAAAGGAAGCATACGAAACATGTATTGTATAAGAATAAGCATGCCAGACAGCAGGTCTGAGACCCAACATAGAATTTTTTTGAGCTTCAGAGAGGGTCGGAGATCTACTGAGAAATTTGTTGAGCTTCAGGGTAGTTCGTAGATCTTGAGAACAGACCTACAAACAAATTAAAAGTTATTAACAGAAATTCATAAAAACAAAATCACAAGAGAGGTCGTAGATCTTCAGATAAATGTTCAAAGAAATTTTCAAAACTTCAAGAAAGCAAAAATAATTTCAAATCAATTTGTAAAACTATAAGCGAAATTTTACAAATCTTCAGGGAAATTCGCATAACTTCAGACAAGTCCAAGAATCTACAGTGAAATATAAAGTATTTCACAGAAGTTTAAAGATCCTCGAAACATTATTCAACATCAGAAAAGTTCGTACATCTTCAGAACAAAGCTACATAGCTTTGAAAAAAATTACAGGACTTCAGAAAAAATCACAAGAATCTCAGAAATGTTAATGGATGTTCAGTAAAAATTGCAGAACTTCAGGGATTAAAAAAAAAATATTTACACGATTTCAGGAAAATTTGTAGATCTTGAGAGAGACATTTAAAACTTCAAAGAAGCTCAAATATTTTCAGATAAATTTTGACAACTTTAGGTAATCTTCAAGGAAATTTTCAAATCTTCAGGGTAACCCTAGAGGAATTTACAAAACATCAGAGAAGTTTGCAGATCTACTGAGAAATTTATTGAGCCTCAAGTTTTTAATTGTAGATCTTGGGAATAGAGCTACGGAGCTGAAGACAACTTTACAGAACTTTAAAGATATTTGCAGGAATTTGACAGAAAGTTTCACAGTTTCACACAAATGTGAGATCTTCAGAAAAATTCGTTAACTGTCAGAAAAGCACCTCAATTCCAAAAACAAATCGCAGCGAAGTACAAAAGTGCAATATTTTGCAGAACTCCATGGTAGTCGGAAATAGATAGATCTAAAGAACTTCAGAGAAGTCCATAGACCTTAAGAGAAGTCTGTAGAACGTCAGAAAGTTCGTACGTTTTTAGAAAAATTTGCAAAACTTCAGCAAAACTCACAGATTTTCGGGAAAGTTCGCCGATCTTTAGATCAAGAATCCACAAAGAAATTTAAAGAACTTTAGGAAAGTTCGGAGATCTACTGTGAAATTCAGGGCAGTTCGTAGATCTTTAGAGCAGAAATTCAGGACTTCAGAAAACTTTACAGAATTTGAAATAAATTTTAGGAACTTCAGAAAAGTTCAGAGGGTAGATCGTAAATCGACTCAAAAATTAGCAGATGTTTAAATAAATGTTAAGAATTTTACTGCGGTTCTTGGATTTTGAAAGACATTTACAGACCTTCAGGTAAGTTCGCTGATCTTTAGAGATGTTTGCACAGCTTCAGAAAAATTAGAAAAACTTTAGAATACCGGGCGAAGTTTTGAAATTCATTTTCCTCTTCATATCGCAGCTCTTGATGGACAAGATGAGCCAAATCCCTGCCGGTGTTCCTTCTGAGCAACCATTTCCTACTCCACAATGTTCACCTTCTCTTTCTCATTTTATTTAAAATAATAAAAGCAAATACGTCTGCCGAAACTAGAGCAATTTTCCGGTAATTCATGATGGAAGTATTTACTTTTGATTGCTGATACAGTTTTGTTTTGAAATCTAAATTGACAGTTCTTTCGACATGTGCAAGCAGTGTGAATACCAGCAAATAGAGGGGTTCGATAAAATAATAATGTGTATAATTTGTATGCACCTGGAATTTTTTTCATCCGGAGTCGAGTTTTGAACGCCTTTGGATACGGTTGTATCTAAATTTTCTCTCTGTTTTGTGCGTGCATTCTCTTTAATAGTTTTCGGCTGCATTTGCCGGATTAGCGCTGGCACTCTGCCTCCCGGACGGTTATACGTGTGTGAGTATGGTGGTTTTCTCGCTTTCCGAGAAGTTTTAGAATCAAGAAAGAAAACATGATTCATCATGTTTGCAAAATTGCAAGCATCAGAAGATTTGGCGCTGCGTGGTTTTATTGTTTTTCCCGGACCAAAAATTTGTGGCATCGCGAGTGAAAATTTTAATTTCTTTTCATTTACGCGGGGATGAGCACGGCGCTGATCTATTGTTAGGGTTTTGGGATGTGCATTGCTTTTGTGCACGGAGTGTCTTGAAAAAGAAAAGTGAAGAAAAGTGATATTTGGTTGTTGTGTGGTTGGAGTGGAGAGAAAAATATGCGTGGAAGCATCGGGAATGCGCTCCCGGGTGAAGTGATTTGATGAGCACGTTCCACTTGAAGATTGTTGACAAGTGTATTTGTGGTGATGCAAATTATGGTTTAGATGACGCATGGCTTCAAACATTTTGTGTATCCAAATAAAACATATTACATACTAAATACGCACAGGGCATCGTCTGCTGACCATTGCCGCGGGTATATCGTGGGAGTCCCAGGTACCCGGTTCAAGCTTTAGTTGGCGGCGGTGGCTCTTCTTGACCTTCTATCCCCTGAGTAGTTAGTGTGAATAAGGGCGTCTATGTGATGTTTTGCTGTACCTGTTGTGGACATCTAGTGCATCCTGTTCCCTTAACTTGTTGAGGACACCCTGTCTTGCCTCAAAAGTTACCCTTTTTGAAGTACTAGTCTTCACAACATAAAGGGCACCATTACGGAGCATAAGATTTGATCAAATTATTCGCAGTTCTACTTGTCCAACGCCCCCGGCTGGGTGAGGGATAGAGGATGACACACACACACACACACCTGGAATTTTTTTCATCCGACCTGGAAAAACCTGGAAAACTCAGGGAATTTGATTCCTTGGATTGAGTAGACACCCGGATAAAGTTCCAACAGAACGCTAAGCACTGCGCTACAACGCTACAACTGCAACGCCTGTCATCTGCGAACAACTCGAGTGAAGTCAAATTTCTCTGGTGCTCTGGTGCTAATCTGACAGCTCCTACTTTTCCTCTATGATTAAGCTTGGTACATGTGGCGCCGCGTTGCGGAAAATTGATAGAATTTTCTAGATAACGTTATAGGAAAGCATGATTCACGCAAATTGTGCTCGTCAATTCGAAAACAACTAAATTCGTTTTTAATTGTCCATTGCGGGAAAGTAAGAATGGTTTTGAAGGCATTACATTTGTTGCAACCTTTGCCGCATTTAATGTTACATGGTTGGAGCTTAAATACGTTATGGATCACCAGCGCTGCCGATGTTTTCGGTAGTTTCAAGAACTGGATCGCATTGCAGGGGGTTTGGAATACCATGCGAGCAAACACCAATTTAAAATTTATCAAAGTGTCAAAATTGATTCCTGGTCTGTCAGAAAGAAGTCTGGTAAAA